GCCTGGCCCCGCCTGGCCCTGCCTGGCCCTGCCTGGCCCTGCCTGGCCCTGCCCGGCCCCGCCTGGCCCTGCCTGGCCCTGCCCGGCCTGCCCGGCCCCGCCTGGCCCTGCCCGGCCCTGCCCGGCCCTGCCTGGCCCTGCCTGGCCCTGCCCCCCCCCTGCCCGGCCCCCCTGCCCTGCCTGGCCCCGCCTGGCCCTGCCGGCCCCGCCTGGCCCTGCCCGGCCCTGCCGGCCCTGCCTGGCCCTGGCCCCTGGCCCCGCCCGGCCCTGCCTGGCCCCGCCTGGCCCTGCCTGGCCCTGCCTGGCCCTGCCTGGCCCTGCCTGGCCCCGCCTGGCCCTGCCTGGCCCTGCCTGGCCCTGCCTGGCCCTGCCTGGCCCAGCCTGGCCCTGCCTGGCCCTGCCTGGCCCTGCCTGGCCCTGCCTGGCCCTGCCTGGCCCTGCCTGGCCCTGCCTGGCCCTGCCTGGCCCTGCCTGGCCCTGCCTGGCCCTGCCTGGCCCTGCCTGGCCCTGCCTGGCCCTGCCTGGCCTGCCTGGCCCTGCCTGGCCTGCCTGGCCCTGCCTGGCCTGCCTGGCCCTGCCTGGCCCTGCCTGGCCCTGCCTGGCCCTGCCTGGCCCTGCCTGGCCCTGCCTGGCCCTGCCTGGCCCTGCCTGGCCCTGCCTGGCCCTGCCTGGCCCTGCCTGGCCCTGCCTGGCCCTGCCTGGCCCTGCCTGGCCCTGCCTGGCCCTGCCTGGCCCTGCCTGGCCCTGCCTGCACCGCCTTCATTTCATCGGGAGCGGAAAGAAAAATACGCCGTCAGGGATGCAGCAGTCTCATTCCAAACAGAGCATCGCCGCTCTGCCCTTCTCTCTCCCTCCACGGGACGCCCCGTGAGTGTGAGAGAGACGGTGCGTGCGCCGCTCGGCTCATCCGCGCATTCCGAGAGTCGTTTCCGTCGCTCCGTCTCTCTCGCACCTATACGGGACGCCCCGTGAGTGCGAGAGAGACAGAGCGATGACTCTCGAAATCAGTGTGCTGGGCCGCGCTGCCGCGCTGGACGGCCGTTCCACTGGAAGTTGGGCTGTAAAGCGGCCAGTTTTCGCGCCATTCCAGCAGCGCACGGTGCAGCGCTGCAGTGTAGCAGGCGCACCGCTCAGCAGGCGGATTCCGAGCAGCGCTTTCGTCGCTCTGTCTCTCTCGCCCTCATGGAGCGCCCCTTCGAGCCGTGAGGGTGCGAGAGAGACGGACAACTGTTCGGAATCGCTGTGCTGTTCGTTTCGAACCGCTCGCCGTCCATCTCCGTTCCGTTTCCCCGCGCGCAGCGCGCGCCTGCCTCCCCGCGCGGCCGCAGTGCGCGGTGGGGGGAAAAAAGTGCTGCCCGCGCGGGGATTTGAACCCGTGCACTCCTCCAAACAAAGTAATAAAGGCAGGTAAATCACCTCTCCGCGGAAAGGCCGGTCCGTTATTATTTCTCCGAGCCGCGCCGGGTCTGCCGGGTCTGCCGGGTCTGCCGGGTCCAGGGCGCGAGAGAGACACCATAAAAGTGCTGCAGCCAGCCAGCCAGCCAGCAGGCCGGCCGGGAAAATGCAAATAGCGAATTTTTGCACACAGCCTTGCCGCGGCACAGGCACACCACGGGCACAGTGCTGGCGCTGCGAAATGATATTTACGCCGAGCCGTTCCGTTACTTTGCATGTTAATGTCCCGTCGCGGCGTGCTGCGTATTTATGTACACTCGGGAATCGAAGCTGCAGATGCCGCGGCGCTGCGGCCCGGCAAGCATCTGAAGAGAATGATTATTTCTGCCGACGCTTCCCCGAGTGACTCAGAAGGGCGGTTTGTCGCTCCGTCTCTCTCGCACCCCTACGGAGAGCCCCATGAGTGCGAGAGAGACAGAGCGACGAGACGACTCTTCTGGATCGCTCGGCCGTCGCCCTGCCCACCAGTCAGAGGAGGGTAATTAAAGGGCTGCTAGGCGGGCCGGCCGCGCGATCCAGAAGAGTCGTTTCGTCGCTCTGTCTCTGTCGCACTCGTGGCGCTCTCCGTGAGGGTGCGAGAGAGACGGAGCGACAAACCGCTTTTCTGAATCGCTCGGCTGGCCGTGCGTCTTCACCCGACGGGCTGAATTTGCAGCGCGCGCACTTTGCCGGCCTTTCAGCCTTCCCTTCCCTTCCCTTCCCTTCCCTTCCCTTCCCTTCCCTTCCCTTCCCTTCCCTTCCCTTCCCTTCCCTTCCCTAGCTAGACGCTTGCTTCGCGGTGCAGTGTGCAGTGCAGAGTGCAGTGCCCTGGTACGACGGCGTGCTCATCCGTCGCTGGGCCGCTGTAACAACGCCGTAACTAAGTAACTGGTCGGGTAACGCCGCGTGACGGTGGCGGTATCGAGTAACGCCCCGCGTAACGCCGCGTAACGACGTCGTTATCTTTACGGTGCCTTGGCTCGTCCTTGGCGCCGCGGCTCGGCCGCACGGGGTCCGCGTCTTGCGCGGCGTGGCACAGAGGGCCAGAAGACCGGTGCAGGCGGCCAAAACTCTGGACGCGTTTTGAGCTATAGAGTCGCTAATTGGGACTCGAACCGACCGTGTGACCCCACCAATGGATTGCTCTCTGAACGAGCAATCCATTGGTGGGGTCACACGTTTGGTTCGAGTCCCATTTCGAGACTCTGGAGCTCAAAACGTGTCTACAGTTTTAGCCGCCTGCAGGACACTGTGCGTGGCGTGGCGGTGGCGAGCTGCACGCGGCCGTGTTCGCCCAGCAGGCTAATTCCGAGAGTCGTTTTCGTCGCTCTGTGTCTCTCACACTCATGGGGCATCCTGCGTAGGTGCGAGAGAGACAGAGCGATGATGAAAAAGACTCTCGGAATCAGGACGCCGCACGCCTCGGACGAGAAGCAAACGATGACGCCTCGTCGCCTCGGTGGTTCACGGTGGCGTGGATCAAGGACGCGCCGCCGACACATGTGCCTCCCTTCGCACTTCGCAGTGCTCTTCCCGAATTGGCGCACGCGCGCGCGCATCTGGAGCACGCGTTTTGCAACCGCATGCGCGCGTCAAAGCCGCTTTGTGCGCTCCGGGCTGACTCTGGACGGGCCCGCCGCTCTGTCTCTCTCGCACCCCCGCGGGCCGCCCCATGAGTGCGAGGGAGGCGGGGCTGTTCGGAAACAGCCAGCTGGAGCGGCGCATAGGCTGGAGCCGCGCATAGGCTGGAGCGGCGCATAGGCTGGAGCCGCTCATAGGCTGGAGCGGCGCATAGGCTGGAGCGGCGCATAGGATGGAGCGGCGCATAGGATGGAGCGGCGCATAGGCTGGAGCCGCTCATAGGCTGGAGCGGCGCATAGGCTGGAGCGGCGCATAGGCTGGAGCCGCGCATAGGCTGGAGCGGCGCATAGGCTGGAGCCGCTCATAGGCTGGAGCGGCGCATAGGCTGGAGCGGCGCATAGGCTGGAGCCGCGCATAGGCTGGAGCGGCGCATAGGCTGGAGCCGCTCATAGGCTGGAGCCGCGCATAGGCTGGAGCGGCGCATAGGGTGGAGCGGCGCTAGGATGGAGCGGCGCATAGGCTGGGCCGCTCATAGGCTGGAGCGGCGCATAGGCTGGAGCGGCGCATAGGATGGAGCGGCGCATAGGATGGAGCGGCGCATAGGCTGGAGCCGCTCATAGGCTGGAGCGGCGCATAGGCTGGAGCGGCGCATAGGCTGGAGCCGCTCATAGGCTGGAGCCGCGCATAGGCTGGAGCGCCGCATAGGCTGGAGCGGCGCATAGGCTGGAGCATGAGACTCATGGCTGGAGCGGCTGGAGCGGCTGGAGCCACTCGAGCCTCCAGCCATGAGTCTCATGCTCCAGCCACGCTCCAGTGCGCCCATCGCGCTGCCGCTCCATCGGCCGGACCTTCCCCCCCATCCCCAATCCCCGTCCCCATTAGTCCCCGAGGTAATTGCTCTCGCCTTGCTTCCTGCTTCCCACTTCCCACTTCTTTGCGTCGGCATGCCGCCCGCATTCCCATGCCGGCAGAGCAGGCCAAGGGGCGCGAAGGGGCAGGCGGAGCGCCGGGGGAAGTCCACCGCCCCGTCGGCCGTCGGCGGGCCGTCGGTCTGCTGTCGACCAGTTCTTCGTCGCTCCGTCTCTCTCGCACCCTGACGGAGCGCTCCGTGAGTGAGAGGGAGACATAGCGACGAAAGCACTGTTGTCGCGCCATATGTGCGGCTGCACTCAGTATCGGGACAATCTGAATGCCCTCTGAGAGGCAGCGAGGCTGTGTATGGGCCTCTGCGCCTCCTTTCGCTTTGTTTCGTTCGACAGTGGGCCAGAAGACCGGTGGCGGCGACCAAAATCCCGGACGTATTTTAGGCTCCAGAGTGGCTAAATGGGACTCGAAGCAAGTGTGTGACCCCACCAATGGATTCCTCGTTCGGAGAGCAATCCACTGGTGGGGGTCACACGTTCTGTCTGCCCTAAAATAGAGCCTAAAATATGAGAAATCCAGCGGAGCATTTCAGGAGTCCGCGTTTCTCCCCCTCTCTAGGGCTCTAGTTCTGTTCAGCGACTCTGGAGCTCAAAACGCGTCACAGTGCGTTCTCCTCTCCCCTCGCGCCCGTGGGGACGAGGAGAGCGCCTAGCCCTTAATGGTAATGGTAATGGGAGGTAGGCATTCACTGGGCGGCTTGTGCGTCCGTGTCCACCACGTGGCCTACCCTGCCATTACCATTAAGGGCTAGACCACACATGATCGTATGCCAAATCGCAGGGGCTCCTTGACTTGCCGCAACTTGGCGCAGGTTCTAGGCTAGTTCTTGGCAACACACGTTTAGTTTGGCCTGGTGAGCTGGCTGGGGCTGGGGCCTCGATGCGCCCCAGATGCGTCCATTTTTCGACCACCCCTTCATCAGACTTTTGAACCGCCAAGAGCCTTGTCTCCCTTTCACCTTACTTCTTTCTTTTTTGTGATTGAGCTGTATGTGTGTGCTGTTTTGAGGTGGGGTCATCTGTTTTTGGGAGACAAGGAGAGAAAATTGGATGCACCCATTGTAATAATAGTAGTTTCTTTTATTTGGAAATCTGGCCGCAAAAGTAAAGCCTTTGTTAAAAATTGATAAAGTACAACAAAACAACTAAACAAAAATGAATATCCACACTCATAGCACGAAACTAATTTCTTCTATCTACAAACTGCTCTCCACATAGCAGAATAATGAGGGATGTTGATGTTCAAATTTTTATTAAATATCTATGATAGGGTAGATCTCTTCAAGTTGCATGCGTTTGCTGCATACACAATGATTCAGACAGTTCAGCCATATTGCATGGAAGTTTTAAAATAACAAAGTGAACTATTACAAAAACAATGGAGTCATCTCATTTAATATCTCTCGACATCAATGCATATCTTATAAGACATAAAAGTTTCCCCAACATACAAATAAAAGCTTGATCCTGTAACTAATGAAGGTAGTAATTTCATTTTGACAATACATACATTCCAATTGTACAATAAAACATAGATAAGGGGATGAAAACTGCACAACTTAATGCATAAATTAAGAAAACCAAGTGCTCATTCAACATCTATAAACCAATAACATGTACTCTTTCATTCTTTCCTTCTCGAACCCATATACCTCAGAGGCATGGCTCCAGGATTTCTTTAAGAGACGAGTAATTGCCAACAAGAGGTGATGGTTTCGGCCCACCTTCTAGTACCGAGGTAGCCCTAGGTAATTACCCCCTGGAGCCGCGCCAGATACCTCAATGAGGATATACCAAAACACAGACAAGAAAATAGGAGATCTCGTCTTTTAATTTCCAAGAATAAAGTAACCGAGGTTTTAAGACTTTATCAACTAGATTTGATGGAATAAACCTCGTAATGATCATAGATAGAAATGCTTATCATTGGAATATATTTCAAGTAAAAAATATGAACTTCAAAGAATCTAGCTTTAGAATTAGAATGTCTGAACAGGTCATAGAATTATTATTTCAATGCAAAAGAAAATACTGAATTTATAAAAACATTGTCCAGTTCTCATTTTGTTTTTCTAGAAACACATACTGACCACAATTTCAATTAAATTACCTACATAATTCTCATGGTGTTGCATGTATTTTCACCATGTTACAGTTGATTTTCACATCTTTTATCACGGTACATTCACAACAAGATACATATTATCCAGGTCACTTTACAGAGAAAAAACCTTACAGTAGGTCCTAAACAATTTCATATTTTTCAGCAAACAGCACAGTTTCTGATGAATACTTAGCAGGCACATCATCATCAACTTGCATAACCTCAGTGATCTGAAAATTATACAAAGAAAACAATAGCTATATTATATAGAAAAAAGAATGAATCATAATCAAACATTAATATGGTAGCAATTTGTTACCTTCAAGTGAGCATAGGACTGCTTAGAAACAAAGTTCACTTGTAGGGGGAAAAAATCATCAGGGTTGCAGTTCGGTGCTGCGAATTCCATAGAACCCGATTTGTTGGAAGAATCCAGGATTGGCATGGACCAGGTAATAACATTTTTTCGGCTGTCATAATTGTATTCACCATCACATTCTGCCACCACAGGATTGCATCCCATGCTGAAAACACATCAATGACAATATAAAAATTTATGAACCATTTAATAATACGTAGGTATATTCAAGAGCTCAAAATTTCACAAACACACTTACGGAAGTGGAATTGTGATGCACACTTCATTCAGCTCCAAATGAGTATGTTCCAGTTCATATTCAATGTTGACATCACACCCTCCTTGCCCGTTTTCAGATGGCCAACAATTGACTGCAAAAAGAGAGTAAATAACATTATTAATATATTTTAGATGTGATTTTTTGGTATCTCTGCAATATACTGTTTGTTAATGGATGAGACTTACTTGACAAGGGCACAGAGGATTCATCAGTAGAATGGAACCTCCACTTCAAAACACCAACATCAGTGTGCATAGGGAATGGCTTTGCAGGGTTCTTCAAGCCGATTTGAGACTTCAATTTAAAGAGTTCTTTGTCCACATTGGGATGGGTCTGAAAGACAAGTACTTTACATTAGGACAAATAGTTTTTAAAAACTTGAGTAGGAGTTTTATACTGAAGAGGAACAAATCTATGCCTGTAATTGGATGCCACGCTGGTCTTTATTTTCAAGACACACTCTGATGCGGCCAAATTTATCATCACTGATGCGCAAGGTAGCAAAGCCATGCACCTCTAAATTCCGCACTCCACCATCCCTACCCACTTCCACAACCATTCTTTCTTCAAGTCTTAGATGAATCCTGCAAATACGTATACCATATTATTACTTTTTATTTGTAAACTTGACTTGTAAGTTTCATATTAGAAGGAGAGACACTAACGGATCAATATTGTCAGGATGAGCTGTTGTAATTTTTTGTGTTGTACCAGTTGGTTTGACAACATCAGCCCCAACAGTTTCTCCCTCTGATTTCAATGATTCTACAAATGAATCCACATCACGACCTTTGCTAGTCAATTTCATTGCCTTAGGAGCATTTGACGGCTTCCTGAAATTAAATGCAATAAAGAATAATAGAGCAGGAAATATCAGAAAACAAATGGCAAACACAACGAGTATAATTGGTTACATACGAAATAGGGGTGTAAGAAGAGCGAGGGACTTCAGTGCTTTCTCGCATTGATTCAGAACCTGATTTGAAGTTGGAGCCAGCCAACATAGTCACACCAAAGCCTCCAGATCCTCCATAGCTACTGTTAGAGCCTTTGATACCCCGTTTAGCATTTTCAATTTTTTGGCGATGCAATTCTTTTGCCTTTTCCCGCATTTTATTCTTGGCCTCCCGTTCTTGAGTCTGAAATGCACATAAAATAATAATGTGTAAAAACAATTTTTTTTTCTTGAAATTTTTGACAAATTGGTACAATGAAAGTTTGTTTTGTACCTGACGAACAGCTTGGTAGACCTTCTCTTCATGGGAGTCCATTTCAACAAACGTGCGTATTTGTGCCAGATTAACACTTTCTCGGTAGCCAAGAGCCACAATTTCATCAAATGCAAAAATTAGATTGAAGGCATTGTCCAAAATTTCAGCCTCATCCATACTATGACAATACTCTGGAATCTTCAAGCAACAAAAATTAGTAGTAAGAGAAATTTTTAAGATAATATTGGTGAAATGTCCCTTGGAAAAGCAGAACAGCTTACCACACGAGAGAAAAGACGAAGGGTCTCCAGATCTTCCAAAATGTTACTGGCCTTTGTTGTGATCAAAAGCATGTAGAGGCGGTCAAGAGGTTGATACACATATCTCACTGATTCTGTTTCAACAAACGTGTGCTGCTTGCCAGAAGACATAAGCTTAGGAAAAGCTGACAACAGTCCTTCGATTCTTGCCTTTGTCATTTCCACAAATTGGCGAGAAAATATAACTGCAAAATAATTGAATGAAATTCATTTACTGAGAAGAACTGTTACATATTGAAGAGGTTGTACACAAGTAGTTGTCCAAATTAATTGAAAAAAGTCACCTTTTCCCGCCTTTGTACACACTGCAGCAGCAATAAGTACCTGAGAAAAGAACAAAGTTATTTTCAATCTTCATTGTAAAAAGCCTACATCTGTCATGTTCTCATAGTGCATTTTGGGCAGTAGTTGTAAACCTTTGCTGAAAGTACACCCATAACAAAAAGCAACATAAATCCGGGACCAAAAGGGAGGAGCGGAATAAAATTTTGAGAACAAATGCCAGGGAATGACTCAAACGGGACAATAACTGGATAGAATGACAGGAGGCAAGAGCGCAAAGGAATAAAATACAGGTTATGTACGTTGTCCTAGGTGCGTATATTAGATGCTACGAAGTGACAGCCTTAGGTTTTGATACAAAAAATGTTTGATACAAGCCGATTAGGTGAAAATGCAAGAGTAGACGTCGAGACCACCGTTTAATTGAAATAAGAGCGAATAACACGTCAAATTATGTTTACCGCAAGCGGAGGCAAACGTACCAAAACACGACATATACGTGGTCGCATGGACCAGGAATGTATTGAAAGACACCACCATATAAATTTCACGTTTTATACTCACCATTTTGACAAATGGAAAGGGTTTATAAACTGCAAAACCAATAAAACAACATTGACTGGTGACGTGGGAATGAACTTGTCAGCTGCAAATGAATCTCCGGCAGAGAATGAAGCAGGGCGGCGCGGCAGTGGCAGGAAGCAGTCGCGCTAATGGTGGAGTAGCGCGTGATTTGAATTCAAACCAGGGACAAGCCTCCAGTGACCTTTAGTGACTCGAAAGTGTGCTATTCAATCCCCTGTTCAGTAACCATGAATAACTCCTCAACACCTTATCGACAAAATATTTATAAAATCCCAAAACACTTGCTGGTTGCGCCAACTTATGAATTGGCATGAACAGATGCAGGGGAATTAAGCCAATGTTAGTGGAATGACAATTGTAGAATGAGGAAGATGGGAAAGTGTGTGAAGGACATAAGTAATCAAGATCAAAAATTGCTTTGGCAGGTTTTAATGAAAAAAGGAAAAATAAAAAATGATAATAAAGATATAGTGAGGATATTATAACATTTCATCCCACTTGGAGAAGAATACTGGGCAGTTCACAAACAATCAGTTGGCTCTTGATTTCCTTGACTTTATGCAATCCTTAGTAAATAATAAGAGAGCACGCAGTACGTAAGTGAGCCTCTTCTTGAGTATTTATAAATTCAATCAAATTTTTTGATTGATCTTCAGCTGCACTTAACTGCTTTTGATGGTGAATTGCTTTGGCACGAGCCTCTTGCACTTGACTAAATAAAGTTTCTACTTCCCGTTCCGCTTTCTCACACATGACTGTTGCTTGCTTTCTCTTTGCTGTAATGACGTTCATATTAAATGACAGCATATCATCTACCACAGAGCCTGAGGGTCTCCATGCAGTGCAGCCTTCCATGTCCTTCTGTTCTTCAATCAGTTCTTGACGACTCTTGAGTAACTGATCCATGCCTTCGTCCCGGAAAAGTGACTCGACAATGCCTTGAAATTCTGCAAAGTAAAAAAGAAAGCTCATTGATACAATCAAACTACAAAAAAAAAAAACCTAACGCAATGTCCTTTATTCATATTTGCTAGTTCAAACATACCTTGGCCAAGTTCGGTCTTGCACGTTGAGTTAAATCTGTCGACTTTCTTCTTCTTCATACCCGGTTTTTCACCAATTAACTCAGCAAAACTGAAAATAGAGAAAATAAAATATCGAAAACAATGACAGCACCACAAGTTGAGGAGAGAGCAGTTTCCAAGAACTCACATAACCAACAACAGCACTAACTTACGAGATACTCTCCATCACGTCTTCGAATGCTTTACGCAGTACGAGCCTCAACAGTTGAGCTTGCTTTCCTTCTCCTGCAGCCATCATTCAAGAAAGCACACGGAAAGGTGTGAACAGAAATACTCGGAACGTCAGCCAACGGCTATTTCGTTCGTTGACACTTTTAAACTCTGCCCGCCTGTTGTTGTTGTTGTTGTTGAGCTCAAGGGAGAATAGTGATTCGACTGTTCGCCAGGGGGAAGAGAAAAGGGGGCTGACGTCTGCTAGGGCGAGGCGAGGGTAACGATGTCAGTCGATAATCTTACAAAATTTTATCTTGCTAAAATCTAGTAGTTATTTTACTCGTCATGCATAAATTTGGTAAATAGTGCCTCCGGTTTCGGATATGCCTGCACTGTCAGTGTGATCAACGGGCCCGTTTTAGACTTAAGTGCCTTTTGAGCACATCCAAACAGAGCTATGACAGTGGATGAGAAGTTCTTTTTCAGGAAAACTGTTCAGCATTTAGCTCGTTGTTTAGCTGCTGTAAATAAAGCGTCATGGCAAAAAGTACGACTTTTAATGTTTTCTTGTCTGTTTTAATTTCAAACACCTCCCAGGTGTTCCATAAACACGCTAGATGTGAAACTCCCTTAACCTGTTGTTATCTCTGCACTGTTTTAGGTAAACATTCTCTACCAGCTATGCCCTCAAGAAGACGAGCGTGGGGTTTTTCGCCTCGACCAGAGAGCTCAGGAGGCTGTAATAGCTCTCGGTATCTACCTCCTTGAGGCAAAGCTTCACCACCAAGATCGTATTCTACCTTACCTTTTGCGATTGCTGGGTGGCCTTCCTAAAGCTGAGTGGCCCGATGAATTGCGCACTTTCCACAATGAGAGTCAGTATACCCTTTTACAAAAGAAACGTCCACTGAAAATTTTTTACTGGTATTGGTTCTTTATGAATACAGACTCATTACTATTTTTGTACTTTCTTCAGGGGTACCTGTCTCGGAAAGGTTCAGCTTTTGTTTAAATACACTCCTAACAGATGTTGCTACAAAATGTGAAAATTCTCGTGGTAAAATTATAGCTGCCCAAGTACAGCTTCTCCATGCACTTGTCAACCAGTGTATCGCATGGAAGGGGAAGAGTGAGACATCTTTGTCAAATTCAAAGTGTGGGTATCAATCTTATCTTTTTCATCAAGTGTGATTGAGTATAAGACCTATTTGTAATGATTGTACTGTTTTAGTGATTCTGTGTCAGTCGACTGTTCCTGCTCTCATTGGGTTAGCGAGATCCATGGGACGCTTTTGCACAAATGACCCACCTCTCTTGTGTCGTCTCTTTCCTCGCCCCACTCCTCCAACAAATGTCAACAACTCACTTTGTTCTGAAAATAATAAATCAGACAAGAAAAGGAGCTTTTCAAACTTCAGGTGAAAACCTTGTTTTTCAAATGTGTCTGTCAGTAAAACCGTTAAGTTGAACTCAAATTAAAACAAAACATTGGGTTTAATTTGTCTTAGGTCTATTATACCTCGATCTCTATCGGGTAGTTTCAACCCACATGCTGTTGATGCACTCAATATGGACGCTTCAGAAATCAAGTAAGTTTTGCTATACTTATGAAAGACATTTAGAAACTTTAATTTGAGAGGAAAGAATTGCATCATTAATGTTTATGCATTTTAATATTGGTCTATGTTCCTTTCTTTATCTATACAGTTCTGTTGCTGCAGTCAAACGTGCATCAGTGCAGAGTCAACAATCTGTTCCCTATGACCCAACCACTTTCTTCTTCTGTAAGTTTGGTTCAAGTTTCAACCAATCTCCCAACATGCGTTTTTCTGAGTCTCCTGAGAAGAGAGCAGTGCTCCAATTTTCCTTGGATCATCTGAAGGTAGAACTAGCTTGTTTTGTTTATTCTTTGCAGACGTTTGTCTGTGCCATTTCTTTCTTTTTATTTTTCCAATTTGTTTTTTTATTTCATTTAATTTTTTATTCTTTTGCTTTCAGACTATACTGCAGTTGGCAAAGAAATTGTTGACAAAAGAAATGCTCTTATTTTTGGACTCTGAGGCAGCTGAAATGTATGAAGGTGGACATTTGCATATATTTCCATACAAATCTTTCAGTGAGACACTCAACTTAGTCATGGTGACTTTGCTCCGTGAACTTCTCCAGCACCAAAGGGGTAATGTACTTATTAAAATGATAAAGGTCATTATAATGCAGTAATAGTAATAATAATTTCTCACTCTTGATGCTCTGTTCATCCCAGATCTTCCCTCACCATTTACCCGAGATGTTCAAGAATTTGTGAAAGGATTATTCTTGTCTGGGCAGACAGAACTACAGGGTCGTAATCATGATGCAAGTGAGAAAGAAGATAGGGAAACAAACTTCTCTACAGTCAATAAGTTTAAAGTTAATGTTATGGCAAATTCTGCATGTGTTGATCTTCTAGTGTGGGCAATTGGTGATGAAACTGGTCAGTGAATAAATTGATTTTCTTTTTCTTTTATTTGTCATCTGTTCTTCCTCATGACTTTTGTGTGTTATGTTCTAGGAGCGGACAGTTTGTGTGGCCGTCTCACCGAAAAAATTAACTCTAATCATGGCCACAAGCTAGTTTTAGCCCACATGCCTTTGTTGATGGTTTGTCTGGAGGTAAATTAAAAATACATAAAAGTGTGGATTAAAACAAAATTCTCAATTTGACCAATACAACTAATTTGACCAATTTTGTTTTTCCAAAAGGGCCTTGGCAAGCTAGCACAAAAGTTTCCAAACATCGCCAGTACCTCTATCATGGCTCTGCGGGAATTTTTGGTGAAACCATCACCTATTATCTCAAAACTTCATCAGCAGTCTGCTGGCAATACTGTTGCTCGTAAAAACCAATATAAGGTCATGAGTAAGTGAAGGCCAATTTACAATGGACTAAATACAAATTTACCGTATTCCAATTTCCTGTATTCATTTTCCATGTCTCAGTTCAGGGAAAAGAAATGGGTGGAATCGGAGATCCCCGCACTGTGAACTCTACTCAAGCAGCTTTTGATAAACTGAGAGATGCTGCAATCGAAAACTTGTGCATAGCTCTTGAAGCGTCTCATGTGAATGATCCAGATACAGTCAGAGCTCTTGTAGCATCACTATCCAACAGACTCTTCACTGCTGAAAATTCTGAAAGGTAGTGAACTGTCTCAGTAAATTCATGAATGTTACACTAGTTATGTACGTTCTCATATAATTTATTTATGTTTGCTCAGTGAGTCATCATTGATTTCAACAAACATTGTTATAATGCTTGGGCATGTTGCTGTTGCTCTGAAAGACACCCCTAAAACAACAGACACTATCCTGCAGTTCTTTCAAGAAAGATTCTGTCGTGTCCCTTCATCTTTGGACATTCTTATTGTTGACCAACTGGGATGTATGAGTATATCGAAAGTATGTAAAGGTTTCTGACTTGATATGTTTTTTAAATTGTATATTGTCAATAATCTTTACTGCAAACAACATTTCCAGCCCCAAGTTTATGAGAAGATATTGCCAATGTTCAAAGAAATAACAGTTGAAGCCAGCTCTGCTGCATACATGGATGGCAAAAATAATCAGTACAGGTACTTTATTGGTTTTTGGAAACTGCCACACATGAGGAGTTAACAGATAAATATATTTGTCTCATTTATATTACAGGCATGTTTCTGGAGCAGTTGTAAATGCGTTGGCAAATATTGCAGCCAATCTACAAGGTGAAGCCAACATGAATGAGCTCTTGGTGAAGCTTCTGGAATTGTTTGTACAGCTAGGGTTGGAAGGCAAGCGTGCAAGTGAAAAGGCTCCTGGAGCTCTGAAGGTAAGTCAAAATTATTTAAGTTATTATTTACTTTATTAGTCGTTCTGTACTACGAAATGAGCACCACACTATTTTTCCTCTTTACAGGCATCTAATGGTGCTGGAAATCTCGGTGTATTGATTCCTGTTATAGCTGTGTTAGTGCGGCGCCTTCCCCCTATTCGTCAACCTAAAGCTCGTTTACACAAACTATTCAGAGATTTCTGGTTGTATTGTGTTGTGATGGGTTTCACTGCTGCAGATTCTGGTAATTACTACTCTAACTTTGTAACAGGTTTTGTCTTTGTCATTAATTGTAAAATATGGCTTATTTATTTTTCTAGGACTATGGCCTCCTGAATGGCATGATGGTGTGAAAGAAATTGCTGTAAAATCTCCTTATTTAGTATCTCAGTCTTCTAGTAGGTCAGAGATGCGTGAGCTGCAGTACACTTCTGCTGTCAGAAATGACAGTGTGTCTCCTACAGAACTTCAAGAACTGAAATCAAGCATTCTGTCTCTTTTGGAGCATCCCGCTGATGTTACAGCATATGTGAGCAAACTGACCTTTGCTCAGAGCACTTCTTTGCTGTCTGTCTATTGGTTGGAAACAATGCGAGTTCAAACTTCAAATGAACCTAGTCTTCAGCCAATCTATGAGTACTTGAGTGATACTGGCCTTCAGAAGGATAAATCTGGACTCTGGCAATGTGTTTGTAGTGTCGGGGATAGAGTTTTTGCCTCATTTCTAGATGTCATGTCTAACAAACCTAAAGATGAGAGCCGTGAGAGAGAACTAGAGAATCATGCTCAGTTCCTTCTCATCAATTTTAATCATGTTCACAAGCAAATTAGACGAGTGGCTGACAAGCATTTGTCAGGCTTGGTAGACAAATTTCCACACTTACTTTGGAACTGTCGAGTTCTGTGGAGTATGTTGGACATCTTGCAAGTTCTCAGCTACTCCCTGGGACTGGACCCCAATGAAGAAACTCCAACTTTGTCGGTTCCTGGAACCCCTTACTCTCTTCCTTTAATGGAGACACTTGAAGCTCGAGAACAAATAGTGAAGGATTTTGCTGAGAGGTGCCAAGGAATTGTGGAGGTTGCCATGAAGTGGGCTCCTCAACAGACCCGCAGCCATCTTCAAGACTATTTGAACCAGATTCCATCATCAGGAATGTGGCACCACTCTGGGTTGGCTCTTGCTGCAGAAAGTGTTTTGAAATACACTGGCCTCAACATGCAGTCTGCTCCCTTGGGAACAGGCACTTTGAACAAAAGGCCTCGCTGTGTCACAGCTGACTCCGCGCGAGTCATGTCTTCATTGTCACTACGGAGCAGATATGCTGGAGAAGTTGCTGGACTGTTGACTGCAGGGCCACACATTGATCGCAGTACTTTGATCGAAGACCTGATTTCAAACGTCTGGCAATCTTGCAGCAGTCAAAACAGTCAAGACCACAGGAGCGCATTATGGAGGGCAACAGCTATGCTAGTGTCTACTCCTGGTTTGTGCAGAAAATTGTTACATGTTGTCGCCTGGTCTCAAGTGGGTCTTTTCACTGATGTGACCATGACAACTGCTGTGGAATGTTGGCGATGGTTATTAACAGCCAGGCCTGACCTAGAGCTACGTTTTTTGCAAGAAATGTTAGGTGCTTGGCAGGTATGCTTGTGCCTTTCTATTCCGTTTCGAAATGTACTAAATGTATTAAAATATAAATGCCACACTAATTTTTTTTCAATTTGTTGCTTATTAGTGCACTATTGATAAGAAACTTGGCCTATTTTCTGTGGAAGAAGAGGAAGTGAGCCCCTTGGCTGCTCATGAAGGTTCTAACCTTGGGCCCAAACCACCTTTTGTAAAACCACACAATATTTGGGTTCAGGTAAGTGGTTTCACTGCAGAAGATGAAGTTCAAGGTAATACAAATTAACTAACTCCAATTTTTATCTTCTTTCAACAGTTTTTGTCAGAACTTGTTGAAACAGCAAGGTACAACAGTCAAGAAAAGGTTGAAATGTTGGCATCTCTTCTTCATAGGTCATTGCCAATGACTGTTGGAAATCAGGATGGTCATTTAAATAGACATGTGGCTGCAGTGGGTGTGCGTTTCAGGTCAGTATGAAGTAAGAGTAGTTTCGTCTGGCTACTGGTTCTCAGAACACTGTATCCTGAGGTATATTTTATTTTAATTTTATGTGATCAATTCTACTTTTACCCTTTTTTCTTCATTTTAGGCTTTTACTCTGTGGTCTCTCTCTACTGCAAGGAGAAATCCTTCCCAAGTCTCTCAGCAAGAATGTTCTTCGAGAACGTATTTATTGCTGTTGTCTTGACTACTTTTGCTGCTTGCCCCGTTGTCCACAAAATGGAGCTGATCTCCGTGAAGATATATTGGTTCTTATTAAATTTTGGGAAACAATGAGGACTGATAAAAAGTACTGGAAACAAAGTGTAGTTGGAGGTCTGCATATTGTAAACTTTCATTTCATTACGCTTGTTGGTTCATTTGTTGTGCAAGTAATATTTAATCTTATTGAAATGCTTCTATAGATCTTGATCTGTATGGACCACATCAGTCTCTACGCCAAACTGTGGAAATGCGTACCACTACTGGAGGATTTGTTGGTGAACTAGGACCTACTCCTTCACGTGGCTGGATTAACACAGTTCCTCTATCCTCTTCACAAAACACTCTGAGTAAACGTTCATCCACAGCCCGGTCCAAGCGTCCAGTGAATGCAGATGTTTATGTCAAGGAGTATACTAAGAAAAGGAACCTTATTCTTGAGCTTCTTGTAGGTTACTTCATCCTCACTACAAAGTTTTTGATTTTTACATTTTGTTATCTTATGTTAATAATTTTCCTATTCTAGGCTGTGGAGATTGAATTCCTCTTGATTTGGCATAATCCAAGCAGTCGTCCGGAGCTTCAAGTCCCAGGAGAAGATAATATTGCTGCTCGCCGTGCAAAGGCAGTAGCTGACAGGGTGTGGCGGGACAATGCTCGTCTTGCCTGGGATATTAGTCCCGAACTTGCTGTGTTCTTGCCTGTCAGGTAAAAAAAAAAAATTCACCCCTCTACATATTTAATTTGGATTTCTAAAAATATTTTACCTGTTTTTTGATAAAATTAGAGTTATTTTATCTCATGGTTTCCTTGTTTTTCATATTTGAATTATAGGTTGAAGAACTCTGAGAGCATTATAGATGAGGTGTCTCGTCATGTGCGCCTGAACCCCATAGTTGTCTCCAAAGTACCTCATGCTATACAGTACCTGGTTACTTCTGATAATTTGTTAAATGATATACCCGAGGTAAGTAAACCTGTCAAAAATTATACTGGTGGTATGGAACTCAACATATTGTTGGATCATTCATGAAATTATGTTTCAATTTCTTCTAGCTTGTTTATATGCTGTCATGGTCAAGAGTTTCTCCAGTGCAGGCACTGGCCTATTTCTCCAGGCAGTATCCCCCTCACCCTATAACTGCTCAGTATGCTGTTCGAGTACTGAAGAGTTACCCACCAGATGCTGTTCTCTTCTACATTCCTCAATTAGTACAAGCTGTCAGACATGACACTGTGGGTATTCTATAGTAGTTGTAGTTTAATGTTGAAAACATAGCTATTTTTAATTTATTCTTATTTTTCAGATGGGTTATGTTATTGAATTCATTAAATATATTGCAAAGAGGTCACAGGTTGTTGGTCACCAGTTGATTTGGAACATGCGCACTAACATGTTTACTGATGAAGATATGCAGTGTAAAGATCGTAAGTAGAACTATATTTTGAAAACGAGATATTTTTATGGTGATTTCAAGTTATTCATTACAATTCTGATTGATTTTTCAGCAATATTGTTCGACACACTAGACGGAATCATCAACAGTATTGTCGAGACCCTTTCTGGTCCTGCTAAACAGTTTTATGAGAGAGAATTCGATTTCTTCTCTAAAATTACAGACATCTCTGGACAGATTCGGCCCTATCCAAAGGGGGCGGAGAGAAAAAGAGCATGCCTTGAAGCCCTGGAGAAAATTAAGGTCCAAGCTGGCTGTTACTTGCCGTCTAACCCTGAGGCCATGGTTCTTGACATAGATTACAAGAGTGGAACCCCTATGCAAAGGTAAATCATTTTTCCTAAAATGTTAAGAATCAATTTGAATTTTCTTTGTTGCAGTTTTACTAAGCCTTCTCTTCACTTTGATGCTTGTTTTCAGTGCTGCTAAAGCTCCATATCTTGCAAGATTCCGTGTGCGGCGTTGTGGCATTAAACAATTAGAATCATTGGCCATGGCAGTGTCAGAGAAAGAGGAGGAAGACCCCAGCAAAGAACCAATGAATGTGGGAACTGGTGTTGAAATGTGGCAGGCTGCAATCTTTAAGGTATACTTTAAAAAAAAAAATTCTTACTCCAATGATACCTAGTAGTATGTATAAACTTGTAACTTCGAGAATCAAGATTTTTACCTTCTCTGTGATGGAATTTCTCTGTCAGGTTGGTGATGATGTTCGGCAAGACATGCTGGCTTTACAAGTGATTGGCATATTTAAAAATGTGTTTCAACAAGTTGGCCTGGATCTGTACCTTTTCCCTTACCGTGTTGTAGCAACTGCCCCTGGCGTAAGTTCTAGTATCATTGTTGTTTTACTTTGCAATTATGTGAACATAAAAATTGATTGACCTTTTTGTTACAGTGTGGTGTTATTGAATGTGTGCCAAATGCTAAATCCAGAGATCAGTTAGGCCGTCAAACTGATTTTGGAATGTATGAGTATTTCATCAAGAAGTATGGAGATGAAAATACCAGCGAGTTTCTGGTCAGTTAGTTAAACTTATCTTTTCTCTCAAAATTGAATTTTGAGAAGCAAATGGTGATTTTGAATTTCTGATTTGACCTTTGCTTGTCACTTTCTTTTAGAGTGCTCGCCGTAATTTCATCAAATCTATGGCTGCCTATAGCGTTATTGGATTTTTACTTCAAATCAAAGACAGGCACAATGGAAACATTATGCTTGATACTGATGGCCATATTATCCATATTGGTAAGACCCAGCCGTTCGGCAGCGTTAAACTAAGTTTAGTTAAATGCGCTAATATCAACTTGCTCAAAATTTTCACTTGCAGACTTTGGATTTATGTTTGAGAGCTCGCCTGGAGGAAACATTGGGTTCGAACCTGACATCAAACTGACTGATGAGATGGTGATGGTTATGGGTGGCAAAATGGAGGCTGCCCCTTTCCGATGGTTCATGGAACTCTGTGTTCAAGCTTACCTAGCTGTCAGGTTTGTATGACTTCAAAAATTTGATTAATGAAGGATATTAAGGTTCTATTTCATTTTGAATGAATATCTGTTACAGGCCATATCAGGAGGCTATCATTTCTTTAGTATGCCTCATGTCAGAAACAGGACTACCCTGTTTCCGAGGACAGACCCTTAAGCTTTTGCGAGGAAGATTTGCCCATCAGGCAACTGATAAAGAAGCAGCTGCGTATATGCTCTCTGTTATTAAGAATTCTTTCCTGAACTTCAGAACACGTACTTATGATATGATCCAGTATTATCAAAACCAGATTCCTTACTAATTCTGTGTTAGCATTCCAAGAGAGGCTCTCTCTTTTCTTCCCTACTTTGTTGGTGTTGTCATATTTTATGTCCTGTAATAATTAATTTTAATTGTGATTGCTTGTTATTTAGTGGAATTGTAAGAAGTTATACAATGATGTTATGACTATTGTTCATTGAATCAGTGTTTATTTAACCTGTAAAAGTGTTAGATGTATGCTTCCATTAAAATGGATGAAATAAATGGGTGTATATGGTAGTAGGGACGGAATTCATTGATCATCACTGGTCACCTCACCAACATGTTCCTTTGCAAGTTAAGAAGTTAATATAGCCACTATCTGCCCTAGATTTTCAAAGTGCTCTGGAACTTTTTTGTCTCCTAGACGTCTTCTCTGACCCTTAAAATTTCTCAATCATATGCCAAAATCCTTTTCTCAAATTTTGCATTTTAAATGGTACCGGTGATGAGGGTGATAATAATATAGAAAGAAGCTTCAAGATTCTCAAAATTTATTAGGGCCAATGATGTTATGATTGAAGACACTAACAGTATAATTATGCTGATAAGCTTTTGGAAAAGACAGTACAAGAGACTGTACAAAAGTGGATTGTTAAACATTAATCCTTATACTGCATCAAGGTCCTTGATAAGCTAAGTAAGCTTTATTAAAGTTGGTCTCAAAAGTGGCAACAATCTGTTTCATGGCTTGAAGTAACTTGGCATTTGGACTCAGTATCTCTGATAACGACACAAAAATTGACTTTGAAACTAGTAAGAAGTCTTTCAACATAGCAAAATCAGTACCACCCCGTAAACCATTTTCTCTACAAATGGCTTTTGCAATACCATGTTTGTAGAAGTCCAAAACATAAGCGTTGCATTCAAAGTCAAGTTCTATTGTAGGTACTATTTTAACATTTACCTGAAAAAAAAACCAACAACAACAACATCTTTAACACTGATATGGTCTCAAGCGTTCAGCAACAATACTAAACATATAAGCATTATTAATCACAAGAATATTTTTAGGAAACCTACATCATCCCTAACATGACGAATATCACCCAAAGATGAAGACACATCTTCATCTGTGTTTCCAGATAAACCCGCAAAGACGGAACAAACATTACTGTGACTGCATATGCGTCCCAGTGTTGGCAGAACTTTCCCTTCTCCTGAAACACAAACAGGATATATCAGTGAGTTTGATTCATGTTAAACATAAGCCTTTGTGAAAATTGGCAGAACCTACCAAAGGTTTCTGGAAGTAACACTTCTTCAGATTGACAATTCACCCCAGAAAGGGGAAGACTCTTTTCATCACCAAACTTTTCCTGCAGTTCTGATGCAATACACTTGAAGTAATGACTGAATGTGTATAATACCTTCCTGTTGTACTTTTTGAGAGTCTGAAACATTATAATTAAGTTCAATATGGCAACTTTTAAGATGCAAGAAGTACAAAAATATTTTCCCCATGAAGACCACCAGCAGGGAAACCGATAAAACTGATCTACAGGCCTGATAAAATCAAAAGCTCCACAGTCTAATATTATTTTTTTAGTGCCATTATTTAGTTTACATTTACAACATATTGCTGGGTCAATCTTATCTACAATCAACAGGATCCTTACATCAGTGACCTGCTGAGGCAAAGGAGGGAGAATGACCATTGAGTTAGTCCTCTTGATGGGGTAACTAGGGATAGGAATTCTCCCAAAAATAAAATTCAAAACTGTTACTAAGTTCCGCAGGGATTCTTCAGTAACACGCCCATTATGACATTCACACATTTCTTCCAAAATTCCGGAGTTTAGAAGAAAATAAAAAGCAAAATTTCCAGGTTCATGGTAATGCAGATGTGTAATAAATTTGGCGTCTACATGGAGTTGACCATCACTTCCGAGAAGATTCTAAAATCAATTCAAGCACAAAATTAGGAACTTTGAAAAACGTGCTAGTTATTGTTCAATCTTTTTTATTTGGATGATCATACCTGGCGCATCAGAAATTGGATAACAAATGAAAAGTAATACTTCATTTTACTTTTCAAATGTTCTTGGGACTCGTACAACAACCCATTTTCCAACAAAGTATATGCTCTGATAAAGCAAAAAACAACAATGACTTATGAAAAAAAAAAAAAAAAAGGAGTAAAAAAACAACTTTTGAACAAACAAACCTTGCATATGATTCAGCAGTAGCCTCCTTGGAAACCTTGCCTTCAATGGTAGTATCAGCCACTAGCAGGAGTAAGCGGAGGATTAAAGAGCAGGACAAGGGGAAGTTTCCCACCATTGCTGGTAAACTACCAGTCATCAAATCTTCCATCTTACGTTTGTGCAGTCCATAAAAAATTACGTTTCCTTCTTTGTCAAAACCTCTTCTTCCTGCACGGCCTGACATCTGCTGGAATTCAAGAGAATTAAGGTATGGGCTGTCCCCAGCTACAATTACTGTCTTACACGGCATGTGAATGCCCAGAGCCAGTGTACCAGTAGCAAACACTAAATTCAGAACTCTTGAACGGAACAGCATTTCAACTGCGCTTCTTTCTTTATTATTCATGCCTCCATGATGTTTTCCCAAACCTCTACGAAGCAAACTGGGGAATTCTCTCATTGCAGTGTATCCTATTTTCACTAGTCTGTGCTCTATGAAATTAATTAGTTTCTCATCATGGACTCCTGCGCCTCTCAGTGAGCCGGCGCTGCTAAGGATGGAGGGCCCTCTCATGATGCCAAGTTTCCTTCTGAAAGTCCTTTTTGGTCTGAACCTCCTGAATTCTTTATTTGAATTTAGTTTCTTAGTTTCTGTGTCAGATTCACATTCTACATCAGTTTCTTTGTCTTCAGCAAAATCATAGATACTTCTCAGATATTCCAACACTTCTCCTGATAATGCTTCGACTAAACCTCTGTTGTAAGAGAATACCAATGCTGGCAACAAACCATTTTTCTTCAAAGAATTTAGAACAACAGGAATATTTTTTATGATATACTCATGTGTTGTTTCCACATTATCAAAATCCACTGGGCGGAAACTGTCCAGCACTTTGCGAATGTTTCCTTTGTTTTCATTACTAAGGATAATCCTCAGTGTTTCACTGAACTTACGCACTGATTGCATTGACAGAAATCCCGAAGGACAAAGCTCATGGAAATATTTTAGTAAACAAAGGTTACTAACATCTTCTGATTTTAGAATTTGTTTCATTGACACATACAGTTCCAATGCCTCATCAGGAGACAAGGAAATGTGTTCAGGAATGGAACTTGCTCTTTGACTCAAAAATGAGTAAGGGTGTACATGAGATATAGTACCATCCTTCATCATGACATTCTTTATGAGGTGGTTATGCCTTTCCAGATGCAAAATAAGACTAACTTTGTAGGAGTCTGAACACCTATCATTAAGTCCAAACTCATCTGCCTGCTTCTGCTTGAAATCTTCCACTTTCTGCAACCATCCACAAAAGTTTTCCGGTTTGGAAATGGTAGCAGAGAGAGCTAGAAATGGACTTCGATTCAAAAGAATACAATTCTCCCAAGAAAGTCCACCGCTCTGAGCAACCAGACAATGAACTTCATCAAAAATTACATATTTGATTCTTCTAGTCCAAGTTTGACATCTTGGGGACAAAAGCAGGATCTCCAAACATTCTGGAACGGTTGTTAAAATCTGGCAGTTTAACTCATTTTGTCTGAAGTCTCTTGTGAGTATTCCAAGAAGTGTTTTTCCAGGAGGTAGGGTCTTATTAAATCTTGCATAAATTGTAGCAAAGACTTGGTTGACGAGGGCTTTTGTCGGACAGACATATATTACAACACCATCGTCACTCTCCCTTATAACTTGTTCCATGCAGTAATAGCTGGCATACGTCTTTCCAGATGATGTTGGGGCAATAACAACAGCAGACTGTTTCTTGTCTATTATATCAAAAAGTTCGACTTGCCATGGATCTGGAATAAACCCATCAGCTCTTAGATCTGGCTGACCACCAGTTTCTCTGGTCAGGTCAGCTTTGAGGTGAACCAGTTGGAACTGGACATGATCCATTCCAATTTCGAAATTTCCTTTGACACTTTTGGCCGGGTCAGGAAGGCCTTTCATTGAACACAAAGCACTGAAGCCTAACTCATGAAGCCATGAGGACAGCTTATTTGTTTGCTTATCATCAAAGGATAGTCCATTGACTTCAACAGTTTTAAAAATTTCTCGGATGACTAAAAATAGTTCCTTGGCACCATAGAGATCTCGGTTGGATTGTTTCAACAAGCATTCAGATTTCCAAAGTTCAAAACATGCCTTTCCCTTGAAAAACAAGAATTTAAGAACAACTTCTGGAAACTCATTTGCATACCTTAGTTGAGTATCACAGTTTTCAATAGCTGCAATAAAGTTTTGATTGCTTATCAAACTAGCAAAGTCTTTGGTAAAGAAGCTGTCTGTTCTCTGTTTTATCTGTCTCAGCTTTTCTTCTTCAACACGCTTAAGGTTGGCTTCAATAATTTTCTCCTTCTTGTTCAGCTTACCCTTTGCTTGAGATTTAGGTTGTACAACTTGCTTTCTTTGTTTCTTATCAGGCTTGCTTGTATTCGTAACAATGGTTAAAGATGAAGACCTTCCTTCAAGGCTCAGTCCATAGAGTGTGTTGAATCTTGCCAAAGTATTCCTCTGAGTTTGGCCATGTCTATTCCTTTCGATTACAGCATTAGAGGCTGCATTATCAGGAATTCGCTCAATGGCATCTGTCAGTGGTTTCCTACTATGCCAATGCCTGTTTTCGTGCAAAACATAATTAAAATCAAAACCTACAGGGGATGGTGAGTAAAATAGCTTATTACATGCTAATTTTCCAGTGAACATTTCTGTTAACTTGCATGTGGTTGGGATGAGTTTACTGACAAAATCTTCATTTCTTATTGATGAAACCGTTTCCAAATTTTGACCCGAACAGGGTATCTCACAAATGTGTTGAATTGGGTATGGATGCATATCTTCTTTATCAATATTCTTGTTTACATGAGAAAGCAACTCTTCATATTGACTGGCAATTGCATTACCTAGATCATTGGCACAATTTATTGAACCAACTTTACAAACACAGTTGAAGACGGCTTGAATAAATTTTCCATGCCATAAATCTCCAGCCTGTCTATAGTCAATATATGCAGAATCAGCACAAACCTGATTCAGTATCTTGGCCATTTCACGTTGGAACTGCTTCAGGATTTCACCCACTTGCAATGGCAAGGCCAGAAGATTTTTGAAACATCTCATCTTGAGAGGAATTAATTCCAATAATGCTGCAGATAATAGCACTGTTTTGACAACATCAATCACAGTTTTTGAATAATTTACCTTCAAGGTTTCACAAGCGGCTAAAATCAGAATGGAGCTTCTCATGTTTGATACAGGTAATTCATCAATTTCCAAGGAATTCTTCTGGACTGGCATATTCTTCTCAAGTGTCTCAATTTGTCCCTTGATTCCTTTGAAGTTGTGGAGGTGAGAGTGCACTGATGCCATCAGACTAGCAGCAGTATTGTGAACAGTCTCAATGTTCACAACATCCAAATGTAAGAAACCACAATAAACTGATTGTGAACTCAAAATGAACTGCATCCAATTATCCTTAGATTTTCTAGAGGCAGTCAAAAATTCAGGCAGTTGTAAAGTCGTCAAGATGAAACTTGGTTTTTTATCTTCTATCAAAACTGAAAACTCCTGGCTCCATAATGACCTTACACTCAGCACACTAAATCTGTTTTGGTTGTTCATTAAATGTAGTCTCAGAGCGGCTCTTGCAATACTAAATTGAGGAAAAGGCTCCCAACATATATTCCAGATCTGAAACATTGTTCTCATGAGCACATCTCAACGGAAAAATTGGGCAAAGCCCATAAACACGATAGCTTACCTCACAAAATATGACAGTAAATTTCAAACCCCTTGATAAAAATATCATGAGAAACTTTTCAACCAGATAGATAATGTGGAGTGATTGCCCCCCATTGTCCATTGAGAGCCCTTTGGAAGCAAGAGCAAACATAAGTAAGCTATCTCCATCAATAAAAAACTGTTTCCCATCAATTATTTGAGGCAATATATCTTGATATCTAGAAACTAAACTGATCAATTCAATAGACTCAATCGATTGAATAAATGTAGAGCAACTTTTTGAACTGTTCACAACTTTGACCTATAAGGGTAACAAGGATAAGCACAGCGTAGCAAAAAGGACAAAAGAAAAAGAGTAAGCAAACAGCTTAGAAATAAAATCTGTTCCAACCTGACGCTTAGTTGCTTCAATGTCCTGTAAAAGCTGTTCACCTGCAACATTGAATGAGCCTTTGTCTTCATTGTCACTAACTGACGCTTCCTCTGAGCTGCCTCCAGAATCACTTTCTTCCGATTGCATGCGCTACAGCACAAAGAAACTAAAGGTTAGTGACTGTATTCACAAGTTATAGGTACGGGTATTTCTTCCTTGGAAAGGCTTTCAACTCAGCTTACCGCAACATGACAAGAAGGTGAAGGTTTTGAGGGAGGGCACTTCGACACAGGAGCTCGTTTCCGTGGCATGGTTTTCAAAGGTTCAAGCTAGTTCAAGCTTGACAGAAACTTGTTCCTAAAAGCTGGAAAACTTGTTTAACAGTATTAGAGATATCAGCGTGTAACAGTAGAAATCACCCACCAGTGTGAACACCACGCAACACGTATATATATAGGCCTGCACCACACCATGTACCACAGCCTCCCACTACTGAGGCGGCGGAGCGTGTTGCCAACCGTTGGAATTCCTGACCTTAGTCTGCCACAGACAATGCAGTACGATAGAGTCTGCCAGGAATTTTTTCAGCATCCTGTGTCAAAAAGGATCGGCAAGATTCTTCTTTTTATTGGCATAATCATCCTTGCAGAACATTCTTTCATGATTTTGCCAACTAGTCATGGGAATACTGGTCCACTTCTACCACCACTGCACACGTCCTGTACGTAGGTTTTTAAAACTTCTTTTTTTTTTCAAACTGAATTTACTTATTTTTTTATTGACTTTATCCTTTGCTTGAAACTAAATTTCCTGTGTGAGAGCTGCAAAAGATAGTCTGAGTAAATAGATGTATGTATGAAGCATTTAAATTTTTTGAGATAAACATTGTATGTTGGTGTTGGTGCTCAAAATCTCAACAAAAGCAACAGACAAAAGAGCAAAGATTCCGTGGTCGGTGGGTGACACTAAAAACAGAATTTATATGCAAGAAAGAGTTGTCAGTCCTTAAGTCAAACCGAAATGGAAGGTGAAGACGACCAGCCTTTGTTGGCTGCATTTGGCAACCCGTTGTGGGACATCTGCATCCACCTCGCAGACGACAAAGTCCTTTCCGAGTTTGGCCTAGCAGACGACAGCAGCCAAGAGGTTACAGCGGCAGAGTACGAATCGCTCCTGAAAGCAGTGGGCAGGTATGCTTGCGTAAGGTGCCTCTCATCTCCTTTCTTTTGGTGCCAGGGCTCTGAAATCAAGCTGAAATGCTCAGCCGAGCGCATGAATTTATATTGCGTTGTGTTCGGTCATATTTTTTTTTTTCTGTTCTTGTTTTAGTTACCCAAGCCAAGCTTGTCCTGGCGGTTCAGCTCTCAACAGTTTACGAGTGTTCCAATGGCTCCACGGTCGGCAGAATGGGACTGTCTTCTTTGGTAGTGTTGGAAAAGATGAGACTAGTAAGAAGCTTTTGGAGCAGGTTTCTCGAGATGGCGTTGATGGAAGGTTTGTTCTTGAAGTATGTTCATTTTTAACAGAACTGATTGGATATTAAGTTTACTGCTTTTCTAGGTTCAAAGTCCAACCCAGCTTGACAGGCTCTGCAATTTGTCTGATACATGGTCATCTACGCACACTTGTCGCACATCTTGGTGCAGCTAATGTGTATTGTAAAGACGACTTGACTAACGAAGATAAAAGAGTTATAGAAAGAGTGAAGCTTGTGTACATAGAAAATTTTTTCTTCACTCACAGTCAAGATGTTATTTGGGATGTTGTTAAGCTATGTAAAACTCATGGAGTAGGAATTGTTGTCAATTTGAGTGGTGCCTACCTATTTACAGATCATGCGACTGTCATTGAGGCACTTGTAAAATGTGCTAACATTGTAATAGGAAATGAAACTGAATTTATGGCTCTTTCCAAATTATATGAATGCAAAAATATGGAATTACCTGTTATAGCAGGTATAATTTCTAAAGAGGGTGTACAAAATCCACCATGTATGCAAGTCGGAGAGGGTAAATCTGTGTCTCTAGAGAATCTGAGATCATTAGAAAAAGTTGTAGTGGTTACTCGAGGTCCCAAACCCGTGCTATGTGCTTATCAAAGTGAATTGCGATTAAGTATGCCTATTTTAAAGCCAAGGAATATAAAAGATACCACAGGAGCGGGAGATGCATTTGTGGCAGGATTCCTCAAGGGCTTGGTTGAGTGCTTAGATATTCGTGATTGCATTGCATTAGGCTGTTATGCCTCTACTGAGATAATTCAACAAGTAGGATGCAGACCTCCACATCATAACCCAATGAAAGTTGAGGATATCAAAGCAATGTATTCTCAAGAAATGAAAAAATAAGAGTTAATAAGAGTTAGAAATAAATGAACCTCAATTTTCTTTCATAAGATCTCTTTGTTTTATTGAAAAAATGTATTTACCACATTGTCTAAATAAGAGTTTTATATTTCTTGCTTTAAAATTTTATAATACTATATCCTTTAGTTCGTTTGATTTAAAAAAACAAAAAAACATTTACTTACTACTATTCAATAAAGAATTAGGATAGTAATCTCTCTCATGTAGGTGACGCTGATGGGACCAACAATGCTCAATCCAGTCATAGGTCACTATATAGAATTTTTTGAATCTAGAATGGTTTCTCTGTTGATAGTACTCATACTCCTTCTGTTGACGAGCACCAATTACAACATGGGTTACATCAGAAGTCTCAGATTCACTCACACGACCTCCTTGAAACACAAACATGGCCTTGAGCAAAGAACATGCAAAACTCTCTCCCTCCTGCAACAGTGAAAGAAAAAAATTAGTTTGCACAACATAAATTTGAACTGAGTAATTTATCACTTTTTTACCTGATGAGGTGGCACAAAAAAGGCTGTACAACAACGAAATACGGCAAATTCATTACTGTCAGAGAACAGTTCCACATCTATGTCACCCATTTCAATTGGCAGTAAATTTACTGCTTGGCGCTGAGAACAATAAAGGCAAAGCACAACAAGCTAAGAAATGAAATACCTTAGAATTTCTTGCTTCTAGGTTAACAATTGATTACTTACTTGCTCTGAAACCTTCTCAAGTGACTTTTTTAACTTCTCTTCTGTTGTTGGTTTGTGGTAACTGTCAAAGAAACTGTCGTATCTTAGTTTCATCTCTCTACAGGTTTTGGTGGACATTATAAGGAGATCTTCAGGTTCCCATTCTGTAAGTCTTTCATTATTCAGCACATCGAGAAACCATTTCACTGTCACCACATCTATATCACCTTTGACCGACAGGTTTCTTAACCGAAAATCCAATTTTCCTGCTACAACACAAAATGTGTCTGGACCTGTAATATAAATTATGGACAGTATTTATTTTCAAAGTAAAGACATTAAGAGCAGAGAAAAGATGCAAAAAATTACTATGCTTCACATACCCCTGTTTTGCACAATAGTTCCACCTTGCTCATGAATACGTTTCTCAAGATCCTGTTTGGAAATCAGGGAATTCCCACTAAAGACACAAATCTCACGCCCAGATAGGAGTGAGCCTTTGACTAAATTGCATAAATCTGCAGCTCGGTGGTCTACTCCTACAGCAGGAAGTGCTCTCACACGCTGCCGTTTGGTTGGAGATACTTGAGTCAAGTCTCCTGCGTTAACATGTCTAATGGCCAATTTGCCACAATTTGACTGTAATTTGAGAAGCCAAAGTTGACAAAACTAAGTAAATCCATACGGGTCATAGCAGGCAGATGTATGTTTTGGTACAAACCAGTCTAAGCCTTTTGAATTCCTCAGTGTCACAGCACTCAAACCAATTCTTATCATAGCGGATTTCTACTACCCTTGGAAAATTTAAAGTAAATCCAGCTTTATAGTGATAGGTTGGGGTGATTTCAGACGCCTTCACCTGGAAGAAATAAAAAATGTTCAGGAAAAAGAAGTATGAGGCAATCAAAATTATAGGAGCCAACACAATCTTTTATTCCAACCTGTAAAAGGTGAGAGTTGCGCGGTTCGATCCAAAGATCAGGCCGCTCTTTGGTCCAAACAAGGCCGGGAGGCATTGGAGCCCCCATCACAGGCTTCCAGTGAGGGGAAAGCTTTTCAAGGAGCTCTTCTAATTCTTTATTACTGTATCCAGAACCCACTCTGCAAACAGAATGAAATTCTGTGGGGGGTTTGCCTGGTAAAGAGGTAATATGAAATTTAGGTAGTGCATAACAACACATTAAGACATGTACAAACAAATAAAAGGATTATCAACAATACCTTTGTCTTCTGGTGCTACAGCAACCCCAAGAAGAAAGTGACTGATGATGTTTGAGTTGTTTTTCCCCTTTCCAAATAGGCCTCCAATAATAATAAGATCCAGCTCATCAGTTAGTCCCACAGTATACTGCAATAATACAATAGAATCAGTACTCTGTATTATCAATCAGAATTATTTAAAAATCAGATCAAGATGGGGAAATATTATTTGCCTCTGGCTTTATTTTGTACCACCCTCCACCATTTTTTGCAGCTGGTTTATATATGGACAGAGGGTGTTTCAGGATAAGCCCTTCTTCTTGATGGTCGATGGCATCATTCAAAGCCTTCATTATTTCTAAACTGAAAACACAGAACAATGCTCCAACATTGAAACTCTAGCATTTTAAGAAAATCAGTGTATCCACAAAAGGATAAGAGAGGAGTTTACCTTGAACTAAAACAATGCTGGGGCGTACCCATGAGAACCCCATCAAGTGGAGTGTATACTTTTGGCAGATATTTAGTTCGCTCTTGGAAAGGTTTATTGGTCAAGACTTCTCCGTTTAACATTAAAATATCAAAAACACAGAAACAAGGCCTGTACTCATTTCCAAATTTCATGTTTTTGACATCATAATGCTTGCCTGTAAAACAATTATAACAGAAAGATATTAGAAGTTTAAGCATATTATAGCTGTAATTAGGTATATGTCACATGAATCTAGGAATACTTTTCCGTCCAAAGCAGTTGTCTTGGGTGTTCCAACCCATCAATTCCCCATCTAATATGCATGACTCCACTGATGGATGCAGTTGCTTTGCCAAAAGTGGGGTGAGTAAGCTGTCAATAGAATCACCTTGCTTTTGAGTATAGTCTACAGCATTCCTAAAAATACAGCAAAGAAAGTTGGTGAGAAAAATGAACAAAATCTTCAGCAATTATCATTTGCTACAGCTGTTAAAATACCTAGAGAAGTAACGAAATGACCCCTTTTGAATATGGATTTGGAACCTTTCTCCATCATGTTTCTTCTCAACGTAATAAAATGGTGAAGACTTAAATAAAGCTTCTACTTTTGTTATATCATATCTTTCTGAACGCATAGGACGGCATGGTTCAAACAGAGTTATTTCGATTTCATGCAATCGTTTCTCTTTTTCTCTTAATGTTTCAGATACCTATGGGTGTAAGAATAAATGGTTACCTAGCTTTCCATTAAAATATAGCAAAAAGCAAAAATTACGTGTGTGTCCTTACCTTTCTAAGATTGTTGCAAGTGTTGAAAAGCTCACTAGCATCCAAATGAATAGTATTCAGTATGGCTTTCTGTCCAACACCAAGGCGTAAATCCTTCAAAAGTAACCGGATGAACCATTTTTGTTCTTCAGGTGACATGCGGTGCAATGTATCAGTCAGTTCAGCATCTACACACTCTACAAAGGAGAGATATCTTCTCAATTAAACACATTTCAACGAAGAAGCACATTGAAAATAATTAAGTTCTGTATTAATGCAAATAATTCACAAACCAATACTAACTTGGCTTGCCACTAGCATTGAATGATGCAATTTTGTCGAGATGACCATTGACATCATCCACTGTCAATTCCCCTCCTGCACCGCAGATTCTCTTTAAAATCCAAAAGGCCACATCAGCAAAATCACCGGCAGAGTTACCTGCAGTTGCTGACCTGCAATTGAACTGATTGTATTATAGATTTCACATATGCAAATTACTGACTTGCAAGAGAAACAAACACCAACCTGAATTTTAACAGTTTGTTGGCTTCCTGGCTATTTTTGGACAAACAAAGGATTCTGATGTATATGTTTGCTAGTTTGGTTTCTTTCACACCATAATTTCTCCTCTCAAAATCCAATTCAGGAACAAGCAATCGCACCAAAGAGAAAAAAGAAGGAACCTAAACCAAACACAAATATAATTGATTTGCTATGCATGAAGTATTTGTGGATAAGAAGTCTAAGATTAACATAGAAGATTACCAATGTGTTGTTGCTTTCTCTGCAAGCGCTAATAAGTTGGTTCAAAATTTTGAACTTTTTTGCTTTGGGGGCATGGGAGATCTTCTCAAACGTTTCACACAACTGTGCAAACTTCATTGCCTGATCCATGGTTCTGACTGCCCCAAAGCCTCACTGAAAAATAAAATAGAATTTCTCAAACTTTGGAGACTTTTTAGTAACTGCTTAAGAAAAGGAAAAAAAAAAGAAATGGAAGATGACACTACAGAAGATATGGCAAGGAGTGCAAGAATATGAACACATAAACTGTTAAGATGAAAATTTATTTATGAACACATAGAAATAGAAAAATTCACATAGAAATGCTCACTTAGGTTGAAAGGAATCCAAAGACAAAATGGGTGCATCATACAAAAAAAAAAAAAAAAGCATTATATACTGCAATATGATATATTACATACTAGGCAAGAATATATACAATTGAAGAAATGTGATAAAGCTTAAAGTATTATATTTACTCACAAGATAAAACTTAAAGCACAGTAAAGTATCACAGTTAAAACAATCATCTTATTTTCTTCCACAAAATTCAATTAAACAACTACATACTTATCTAAGTACATTTGAGCTAGATCCTTACAACCAGCATTCATATAGATCAGGTGCAAGTTGAAAGCAGCCTCTTGACGAAGATCAAGCATTGGTTCCCCAGGAGGCTCAGTTTCTAACACTAATTTATAATGGTGAGCAGCAGCTGGCACTAAACCTAACTGATGGAAGGCACGTCCTATATTGTAATATACTTCTTGTAAACCACATGGTCCACGAAGGTCTTTGTACTGCCAAAGAAAGGCAATACCCTGAGTAACTAATGAATGTTTTTTAGCAGAAAACTTCTGACAGGCCATTTGGATTAGTGTCACGCCCATAAGAAATGCAAGCATAGGACTCTCCTCACGACGAAATGCTGCAGCATACTCATTTAAGGCATATTTGTAAGTTCCAGCTACCAAACAATTGTTGGCATGAAGAACTGTCAGCGCTGGATGATTGGGCTGTCTTGAAAGAAATCTCATGATAAAACGATTATGACGTACATCATCAGCTCTTTGAATTACTAAGTTGAACAAGTTCCATGCACGAGAACTATTAACTTCTCTCACAACTAAGTCACGTGCAAGATTATATCCATAATATGCGTCACCATTGTGTAAACAAGCCAAAAGACTCAAGAATTCAACCTCAGCTGCCATTAAATCAGTGTAGAATCGTTTTGAACCAAGAGCAGACAGAGCCAAACGTTCAAGCTGACCAAAGCGGCCAAGACGGAGGCATGTATCACACAGTTTACGTAGAAGATCCCACTCTTCCATGTTGCTAGGTTCTCTTTCACCATAAGTAAATTCTGGAGCATCCTGGTCCTGCTGAGCTTCTCCACGCAAATCCCGAATTTCTTTAAGAGCCATATTCTTCTTGTCAATTCGTCGAAGTCTGCAGAGAGCATCCAATTCCTCTCTATTTCTAATTCGGACACAATGACGTGAGAGAAGTAGCTGTCCCACTGCAAGAAACTCCTCTGCTCTCTCAAGACCACCTTCTTTAAGAAGACTTGCTCTTTTAAATAATAAGCCAGGATCTAATACTTCACGATCAGCATCCTGGGTTAACACGGATATGGCTTCTTCTTCACGACCAAGAGAGGTAAGCAGTGTGGACAGTGTCACTCGTACATCTACATGTTGTGGAGCCTGATCAACAACTTGCTCATAAGCTTCAACAGCTTCTTCAATGTGCCCACAAACTCGAAGGCATTCAGCCTGTCTTAGCCACACAGCAGCTAAACTATAATTTTTACTCTCAACCAAGGGTCCTAGAAGACGCAACGCATCTTTATGGTGGTTTACAGCCATCAGGGCCTCAGCTACATCAAGATAAATATCACCAGCCATCTCACAGTCAACACGCTGAAGGAGATATTCAATTAGTTCATCCACAAGGTGCAAAGTACGTAAATGAATCAAAACAACTGCCAACTTAGCCCATAGATCTAGTTGAATGTCCTCGGGAAAATTGCAACTAGTAACTATGAGGTCATTATCATCAGTTTGTTCAGTAATTACTTCAACACCACAGTGTGAGACCATAACCTCCAGCACCCTTGGGTAATCTTGGAGCTGCAGCAACAAATCCAAAAATAAGTTGACCTCCTCTGACTGAACTTCATTAGGCACTTTCAGGAATGCCATTTCCATAGCTTCTTTGGCTCGGCTAAGATCACCATCTTTATGATGAGAATAAGATACTTTCTTGGCGAGTTCAAGAATGAGAGGGCCATGGTCAGGGGTCAGGACACTTAGCAAGCGAGTATAACACTTTATTGCTGATTTTTGATCTTTGATTTGTTCAAACAAACCAGCCCGTTTCATGTGTGTTTCTGGGTTTGAAGGGTCAGCACGAATAGCTCGAGTGTAACACTGAATTGCCTGCTTCAAGTTTCCTTGTTCTTCTGACATCAATGCCAAACGGATCCACTGATTAGGGTCACCTGGGCTCAGCAGGGCAGCAATAAGTGCAACTTGCAATGATTTGTCTGGCAATCCCTGTTCTTCATACAAGTGGGCTAGAGTGTTGAATGCTTCAGGATCATTTGGACACTGACGAATAATTTCGAGGCACATTTTTTCTGCAGTGGCATGATCCCCACGAGCATAAGTTAAATTTGCCTCTCCCATTAGCCCTTGCAGAGCGGGTGGTAAAATCCTTTTGCGACGCCTAAGGCGAGGCTTTGCTTGGAGTTCCTTTTCAAATGCTTCAGCGCTTGCAGAGTTGGACACCACATCAAATTTGGGCGGGTCATCTAAAGGTGCTGCCTCGACTCCTGCTTCCTCACCAGTTGAGTCGCCAGCTAACTGGGCATATTCAACAAAAGATATCTCCTTATTAAGATAGCGATTAAGTATCTCTCGCTGCCGTTGCTCTTCAGCAGAATCGGTTTCTCCAGTTTGGTCCTGGGGATCACAAACACTACCTCCATCAAGGCTTTCCGGTTCATCCCATTCGAAGTCATTGCCAAAGGATGGTGCACATCTGGAGGGTCCCTGTTGTGATTGATTATCAAAAAATAGAAAATCTTGTCTAAGGGGTTCTATGGCACTGTCTTCATCATCAGTTTCGACAAAGGCACTGCGCAAATCTCCTCGTGATGTTGATGCAAGTTTCATGATGGGGATGTTAGAGTCCGTAGTCTTCTCTTTCGCAGCACCTGCTCCTTCCCATTCAGACATTCTCACTGGAAGCACACCAATGTAAAATGTCACCGAACAGCAACAAGGAAAACTGCACAGCAATACACTTCAAAGAAATTTGAAGTTTACTGGACAGATTCCAACTCAAGTACGGCAGAGCTGGCAGAACCATCATAGTGCGGTTAGTCGAAGGGATAGAAATGAAGAATTTAGAGAAAAATACTAAGGATAGAGCGTCAACACAGAAGCTTTTTTTACCTGTCTTGATTTCTATGCTCAGAAAAGTGACAATACAGGTGCACGCTCCAAACACCGCTGGTACCGGTTAGGTTATGGACCAACACAAACACAGTTTCCAGTGAACTTCTCGAGGCGTTCTACAAATGTCTTCTTCGGCAAATAAATATCTGTAACATGAGGCAAATCTGACAGTCAGTCATTTCATTATGTCGATACTGACTACACTAAATAGGATTAAAAATAAAACCAACCAAAATAACAAAACAAAGCAATGGCAATGTTCCTGGGTATAAGCATTGAAACGCTTGCGTGCAGTCACGACCTTACACGCACAACATCAAGGTGTAACACCTCAAAAATTATGATAACGACACAATTTCAACAATTTCTTCGTTCACGCTCATGAGGAACTGAAGGACAAGATCAAGGTAAGCTTTAAACTCAACATTTTTTTTATCATTTGGTAATCTTTGTGTCTGATTAGAGTTTGACAGTTAGTTGATGGGCGCGTAGATCTTTACTCTCTCCAGACTGACATATTATTATGATTGATGTTTTTTTCCCCTTTGTGAATTTAATAAGGCTGAGACCTACCATTAAGTTGAACTCTTTTACTTTATCCATTGCGTGAGAGTCTGTTTTATTCTGATATTATTGCTCTTAACCTGTTATGTCAATTTTATCAAGAGAGGGAGTTAGTTTTGAGTGGCATTTTGGCCTCACTTGTAAGAAAGCTGATAGCACATTTGTTTTGGAGTCTGACGGTTTACTAATATCAACATTAATTTTTGACAAGTGATGGTGAGATACATACATTGGCAAACGGGGATTTGAAGTTCAGCAAATGGTTTGGTCTGTTGTCACTCCTTTCAATGATCTTTTGTTTATTTTAAATAATTCACGACACTATTTGTTGTAGATGGAAGAATCTCCTTCATGTAAGCAAGACAAAACTCCGGTCAAGATGACTCCTCAGTACAAAGAAGTGTCACCCAATCGAAACATTCCCCATGCAGTGGCAATGAGGGAATATGGTTCATCCCGCTGTTTGAATCAATTAGCTTCAGAATTTCGAATTGCTGCAGAGGAAAAGCTGATATTGAAGGCACATAAAGAAACGGTATGTCTAATCCAGCTTTGCAATAGTGTGAAAACAACGTGCAATAAGAAATATAACTCATTTTGTTTCCCTCTACAGAAATGTGACCTTCCTGATTTTACTCGTTCTACTTACTTGATGGTTTTCAGTCCAGATGGGTAAGTTATTTCAATGAAAGATGAGAGTTAACATTAACGAATGCTTCAAAAAATTCTGAACACCATCTCTTGTGTTTGTAGGAAGAAAATGGCATCCTCACATGGCAATCACAATGTCTATGTAACTGATGTCAAAACTGGCAAAAACTTAAATACCTTATCTGGCCACCCTCGCACTCCATGGTGTATTGCATTTCATCCATCCTCTAATCAAATTCTTGCCTCTGGATGCTTAGGTGGTCAAGTTCGAGTCTGGGACTTGCATGTAAGGGAACAGTTGTCAAATGCTTCACAGATTACAAAAAAATTGCAATTCTACACCATGATATTTTTCTTCTTTCAGGGGGGAAGTGAATTATGGACAGTGGAAGGACAGACATCCATTGCATCACTTGCTTTTCACCCATCAGACCATCTTCTTGTTATTGCTTCATACAATGAGATCCTCTTTTGGGATTGGAGTCAGCCAGAACCCTTTGCAAAGTGTAGTACCCTGAATGAGAAGGAGAAGATTCGATACGTTGCTTTTGACTATTCTGGATCAAAGCTTGTGACAGGAATAGAAATTCCCAAACCAGTGGTATCTCAATGGGACCGAGTTGGACCTGGACCTGCTGCTAGCCGCTTAGGTGGTCACACCGGACCACGACCTAGTGGACAGCGGCCAGGATTTGGGCCTGTGTTTAGTCGGCCAAGTCAAAGTTCAGGTTCGGGAGCAGTATCTGGATCTGGGCTGGGCTTGGGATCTGGTTTAGGAAATGGTTTGGGTACGGGTTTAGGTACTGGATTGAGTGGTTTAGGTTCAGGTTTGGGAGGAACATCATCAAGACGATCAATGAGTCCACCTACTCTATCGTCATCGCAATCTAGCTCTGCCGTGACAACACCAACAGTTCATAGAGTTTCCTCCTCTCAGCTAGAGGGAAGAATAGTAAGTGTCCTACATTTTAATGTAATATCACTGTACCAAAGCAGTTGCTTTTAAATACTTTTATTAATTTCAGAGACAGAATGTACAGTTACTGCAGTTACTCCTTGATGCTAGAAGAAATGCCCAAAATGAAACAATCTCACCGAGAAGACCCATGAATGGAGAAAGCAATACATTGGATTCTAATAATAGTACAAGATCAATCAACTTAAATGAAACTGGAAGTACAAGGAATATAGGCACATCTAATAGTGCTAGTAATCAGCTAAGAAGTTTTATGTCAGAATCTTTCCAGGAACGCAGACATGTAAATCCACATTCCAGTGAGTTTTCTTGTGTGTACCTCTTAGTTTTTAAGGTTTTTTTTGTTTCTTTTTCCTGGAATCTAGAAGCATTGACTTTGATTTGCTTTTCCAGCATGGCGGAGTGAAAGTATTTTGAGGGGTTTTGGTGGTGAAAGACTGAATAGTTCAAACCCTGTAGGTATTAGAAATCTTGCAGCTAACGTGCCTTTGCCATCTGCACCTTGTGATAGGTAAGGTCATTTATTTTCCTCAGCAATCGTTTGTCAAATGAAAGTCTCTTCTTTTTCGCTTGCCTAATTTATTTATTTATTTATTAAATTATTTTAAGTAATAGGGACCCAAGCACAGCTTCAAGTTCCAATGACATAGCTGTTGATGTTTCATCCAATACCAATCAGTTAACTTTAAATCAATCAGATTCAAGTGTAGGAAGTTCATCACAGAGAAGAGTCACAAATCGGCAATCCAGATTTATGCACTTAGGTATAACGTGTTTCCTCTATTTTGTTTTGCATGTATCATGATATTTGTATTTGCTTTTACTGATTATTTCTTGGAATTTACAGGTGGTTCCCCTAGTTTAGGTCCTTCCTCAACAGCTACGTCTATGTCTCCAAATTTTAGGAGCCAGAATTTCACAGCAACGTCTAGCCAAGTTTCATTTACAAATGGAGATTTGGATGTCTCAAATCAAATCAATAATTTAAGTGAGGACATTCGTCAGATTTTTTATATCTTATCTGAACACATAGATGATATGCAACACTGCTCAGTGTAAGTGCTCTTTTCTATGTATTTCAACTTTTTTAATTTTTTTTTTTTTTTTTGTGAAACATGTTCCGATATGCTTTGTACTATATACACACTTAACCTGCCAACAGTTGCTTACCAAGAATGAGCAGTTCACGTTTGAGCCATATTCGGCAGCTCTGGGCTGAGTTGAGAGATCAAATACGTTCACTTCAATCAAGCATTTGGGAAAATACAACTCTTGCATCTAATGCTTGGCAGAGATCATCTTTTGAGGCTATCACAGAGATGCTCTCTCACTTGACTCATGAAGAAGGAAACAGCAATGCTAACAGGCCTGCATCTCCTTCTTCTTTTCAAAGAGAAAATCAATCCACATCCACTAGCCTCCAGTCAAATATTTCTTTATCTTCTTCTCCAACCAACTCGCTCTCTACAGAATTGTCTCACCTCAGTTCTCGCAACTCCGGTTTTAGTGCCAGAAGATCTGTACAGAGCCCATTTGACGGGCTTATAAACTCATCCGCATCGAGATGTACTCCAAGATCAATTCTGAGAGGGAATGTTCATCGCAGGCCTCATCATGCTGGTAGAATGTTATACTTGAGATGTCAGAATGCTGCTAGACGGCATGGCACTACTGCAGGAATCTTGCGATCTCAAAGACCTTCAGGACGTTCATCACAGTCTACTGAAACAGAGGAATCAATCTCCCAGTCCTCTTCGTCAAACAGTGAGGATCAATCATTAGTGCCTGGCAGGCATTTGCCTAGTCAAAGTTCAGAGTCATCTCAACCTTATCAGACCTCCTCTGCATCAGAATTTGATCAAACTTCAGAAGCAGAAACAAGATCAGATAGGTGAGTGCATTGAAAAGTATCAAATTCAATTATCATAAGGAAGAAAAGTATTAAGGGTGTGTATTCAACAGGGCAAATGTTCATTCTCCTCCAAGAGACTCCACCGCAAGTGGTACAAATGGCTTACAAATAAATGGGAGGTCTGGCTTCCAACAGAGTCCTCTATTAAAATATAGGTATTTTTGGGGAAGGCGAAGAAATGTTGCTTCAAGACCTTTCCGTAGCAGTACTAGTGTACGTTCTCCACCTCAACGTGTTACTCCCCCAAGGTAAAGTGCCATGTGTACACTGATCACCCTTTGTTGCATGTTGTGACTTGTCTGGATTACTGAACCATCCTTCCTTGAATTTTCAGATTCTTTGGAGGAAGGCGCAGTGATTTTGAGATAACTCTTGATACAACTAGCCCACCTCAATCACAACAACAAGTAATTATTATCTGAAGTTGTGTGCATTTGCCTAGTTTCGTTTGTGTTCAAAAAAAGTTATTGAATTCTGTTTTCTTTCAGCCATCAAGAAATACTAGAGCAAATAGTCAGTCATCTATCCGCACATCAGACAATATGTTAATGAGAATCTTTCGTAGCCTGAGGAGGGCGGCCTCACTATCAGGTTTGTAAATTATCCTCAATGGGTTCACTTTTTTTTCTCAAGAGCCATTACTATCTTAAAATCAGTTTTAATGACAGCATTTTTTCTATTGCAGGCCATTTAAATCAATCACAACCATCTCTGAATAATGATCAGAGTCAGAATGTAACTGCCCTGCCAGTGCCACTAGAACCATCAGTCCCACTGGCTACTCCGCCGGACACTTCCTCAAATCAGCAAACTTCCACAAGTCCTGAGCATTCTGGTGATGGTCAATCCTCAGGTTTACGTCTTTGGACTCAATACAGTGGACCTGATGGTGATGTGCTACATATTCGTCTTCCCCAAATGGAAAGAATGGACTCAGCAGTTCGGGAAAGACTTTTGAGAATCCGTTCTAGTGGAACAATGAATGTGGTTCAAAATGGTGTCATGACAGAAGAGCTTGCCAGGAATTTATTACGTTTGCACGTTCATCAGCAATACCAAGAATTACAACTTCGACAGCATCAGGCCAGATTACGTGTGCGTTTCCACAATCTAAATTCACTGCGCCTCACAGGGCATGTAAGTGTCTGTGACAGGTACATACATGCTGAAATGAGCAATAATTTGACTAAAAAACTTGTTTTCATCTTTCAGACCCAGAGAGATTTCTCCCGCCGTGTGGCTCGGTGCTCCCTGTGCGGAGGGTCGGTCTACATTCGGCACCCTCCCTTCTTTCTCAGGGTGAGGGCTACCACGCCCGCGGCCACGCCCGCGACCACGTCCTCCACGCCCACCTCCACCTCAGATACAACACCAGTCTCAGCAAGCAGTGCCAACCAGCAGTCTCAGCCTCAAGTCGCACAGTCACCACCAGTTTGGCGGAGATGGGTGTCTCCGACTTCCTCCGGTCCCACCTCGCAGACATCACCCTCCCGCTCGCCTACCCGATCTCCCTCCCAGTCGCCCACGCCTTCCTCCTCACCCTCCTCCACACCCCTGCTCTCCTCCCGCTCTCCCCCTCTGTTCCGTCTTGAGACTCAGACAGAGCGATGGTCTCTCCTAGACCCCCCCGTCACACCCCCGACACCACCACCTCCTCCACCTCAACTATCCCAGCACACCCCTCAGCCGGCCCATCCTCCCCTGCAGCCACCCTTGATGCAGTCCGTGCAGGCCCCAAGGATGTCGAGCGTTCTGTCCCCGCCTCAGCTGCTGCTCGGCCTGGGGACTTCTCCGCTGGGGCCGCTGCCCTCGCCGCCATCCTCAGCTTCCCCCTCCCCTCCCTCACCCACCCTGTCATCCCTTTCACCCCTATCACCATCATCTCCTCCCCTTCATCCACCTCCTCCACCGCCTCTCCCACCTATGGTGTCAGCTCCATTATTGTCGCAGGTAAATGATGATACCTTAAATGCAGACAGGAAATGAAAACCTCCCATCGTGCTGTGCCTCACTTAGATTTTCTTGTCCATGGTATGTTTAAAGGTTTCTACACAGACTAACCCCAGACCCTTTGGAGGTGATACTTCAAGTAATCCTCCTGGTATATCTGGCCACAGAATTGAGTACTCAAGTTCCAGTTCTTTGTTTTGGCAAGTGCCAGCTAGTCACCTGAGACTTCACAGTCAGCAAGCGGGTGGACCACAAGCTCGCTCGAGGAGCTCCGAAGACCAACCTACTTTTGAAAGTACAGCTGTCCGTGCATCTCCTGCAACTGACTTGCATATTGATCCAGCTAATTTACCTTCCACCAGTACTGGTATCTGCTTTTCATCTATGATGAGAACTCCTGTCTTGAGTAATTCCTCTTCCAGTGACTCAGAAACTGAAGATCTAGAACCAATCATCAGAACAAATACCACTTTAAGTAGCCCTGTTGGAAAAGTTACTGAGCAAAAAGAGGAGAAAAGGTCGGACAGAGGTAATTGCGAAGCCGGGCCTAGTCGTGCTCACTCAAAGGAATCCCACAAACCTAATGGTAGAAGTGATGCATTAAAAAGGAAACGGGAAGATGACAGAAGAACTCCACCTAAACACAAGTTCATTGATACTCAGGCCTCCAGTGATTCAGATAACACCGATACTGAATCACCAAGGAGTAAAACTTGTGTGAGGGAAAACCATCAAAAGTGCCAAGTAAATAATTTTCAGCAGGAGAATGAAACTACCAACATCAAACTAAACTCTCAGACAGGTGCAGCCAGTGAGAATGAGGCTGATTTGGTTACACCAAGTCGGGAAGCTGAATCAGTTACACCAAGCCAGGAAGCTGAATTAGGTGCACCAAGTCAGGAAGCTGAAAATGCACCTAGGCAGGAGGCTTCTCAACAGCTACCAGAACCAACATTTACTCGTCAGTTGGAAGCAATCACAGGAAGGCTTGACCACTTAATGTTTTTGCAAAGAAATGCATTAGATCCTTCTCAAAGAAATAGGGATGGTGAAAGTCACGATAACTCACCCCTCAGGAATACAGGTTAGTATTATTACATGTTCATGTAGATAATTTATATTTTTTGATTAATTGATTATCCATTTTTGTTATGTTTCAGGGGAGCCCTCCCATACAGCTCAAGAAAGCAGTAGATCCTCTGATGCTATAAATGTTACCAGTCGCCTTCTCACTCGGTTGACACACACATTGTCTCGCCAAATTCAAATGGTTCAGCAGATTCGAGGGCAGCAAAACAGTTGTAATGATCATCAAGAGTCTCCTATCAGACCCGGAGCCACAAATATAAGTGCCCAAACAGCCATGATCAACAATACTAGACGAAGGGGTCGGGTTCTCCTGCGCTTGATGGCTGACAGCCTATCAACATTCTCCTCTCATAATGGACTTCCAGTCGATTTCCAAGGCAATCCAGCATTTGAACATGTGCAGAATATGTCTTCAGCCTTTTGGTTGCTTCAGGGACTATATATTTTGCTCGACTTAGCACTGGAACTAACAGATCTTTTACTTACTCATTTTGTTTCCTCTTACGAGTCAAATGATCCTGAAGAAGCCTCTGTAGAAGCATCAATCCCACGCCCTTGTGTTTGTTGGACATCTAATTCATCAGCAAATCAAGCACAATCATCTCAACAGAGGTACAGTCTTCATCAATTTAGAATGAAATGCTTGTTGTAATAATTATATAGACAAACTATCTTTTGCCTTCCCAGCAGGATACCTGTGGGTTCTCCTCACTTGTGGAATCCACCATCAACCCAATCTGGGAACAACTCCACCACTACTAACTCTGGAAGACTAAACCCATTAATGATTTATGAAACAGTTAATTCACAGAACCGCCCTTCGCAACCTTCATCTTTAAATGAGGCAACTGGGTCACCTAGTGGTGGTTCATTGTCACCCATTTCTTCCTCCCCTGCTCCACCTCCATCTTCCTCTTCATCTTCAGTTCTCCTTTCCCCATCTAATCTGTCTCCTGTTCCTCTTGTCCCTTCCTCTCTGTCTCCTGTTCCTACTTCTCCTGCACTTTCGTCAGTCTCTTCTGTTCCCCCTTCTTTTGAACTTCCCTCTGTGTCTATTGTTCCACCTTCCCCAGCCGCCATTTCCTCTGTTTCTCCTCTTTCTCTTGTTCCCCCCTCTCCTTCTCCTGTTCTCCTTTCCCCATCACCTCCCAATTCTTCCTCTCCGTCTCTCACACCTGCTTCTTCTTCTGCTGCTTCTACTCCCCTCACCTCTTCCAGTCAGTCTTCCGCCATTTTTACATCTCAGAATATAAGACCTTGGCTGGTAAATTTGCACAATGTAGTAGCGTCTGTCCGGGCACCTGGTAGTGGTAGACCTCCTACACCTATGGAGGCACATCTCAGAATGAGGAGACGTTTGCAAGAAGAGGCTGCATCAATAGTATCCCGGCTTCCTTTGATGCCAATTCCTCCATACACTCCTCTGGTAATGTGCTAATACTATAGTAATCAAATGGAAGGCATTGAAACTAGAAGATTCATACAAACACATTAACTGTTTCTTTTTTTTTTCTCCTTTAAAATTTTAGTTCAATGATTCACCTGCTGAAACAGTGTCTGGAAGAATCTCTCACACGTCCCGGCAATCTATAGAATATCTTCACCAACAAATTCAAATCCAGCAGCAGGAACGAATACAGCAAGCGCAGCAACGGCAGCAGCGGCAGCAACGGCTGCAGCAGGCTCAGCAGCAGGCTCAGCAGCAGGCCGTGCAGCAGGCAGCTCGGCAGCTAGCTCGGCAGATGCACCAGCTAACAGAGCAACAACAGCAACCACCTTTCTACTATGAAGCCCTTGATTCTGTTTCTACTGGGGTTTCAAGACCCGGTTATATGCGTTTACGAACTCGACTGTTACCACCTCCGTTTTTACGCCAGAATCAAGAAAGGCCGCCCATTTCATCAGACGCAGATATGGCTGCTCAGCAATCTCTGTTTTTTCATTATGATTATACTCGAAGTGAGTTAGTGTTTGGATTTGGTTTGCTTTTTTAATACATTGTGGAAGCAATCCTTTCTGAAGTGCAATACTGTAATCAATCAATCTCAACTTTTGATGCAGATATTGGGCATTTTGTTCGAGAGCCAAACTTCACTGGAGAAGAACACAGGATTCATCGCATCCAGTTATGGGACTTCTCTCGTGGTATTATTCCTGATATAACCAAGGGTAGGTAGAACAGAATAATTATATCACTATTACTGATTGTAACTTGTGTGCTTGTCCTCCCCTTCTATATTTAAAAAACTTATTTTTTATTGATTAAACATTTTAAATCGGTTGTGGTTTTAGGTGATGAAAACCTTGTTGTTTCTGAATGTAAAATCCATAATGACGCCAGTGTGGATATATCTTCAGATGGACACTTATTGGTTGCACTTTTACCAACCGCTCGACCTTCTGGTCATCCTCAGATTCTACCTACAACACCTGCACAAACCATTGGTAACCATACATTCAATTGTTTCAAATCATTAAAAATCTGGAAAAAATTCTCTAATCTTTAACCTTATTCCTTTTATTGTCATTTCAGGTGTGTACAGCCTTGTATGGGAATCTCTTGGGCAACTTTTGTACACAACCAGTATTGACCAACCAGCTGTGTCTGTTGCTTTATCCCCATCATCTGCTTACCTTTTGGTGGGTCTTGCTACTCGAAGAGCGATGCTAATGCCCAATGACCAGCATGCTCTTGCACAAATTTTCAGATTGGAGGGTGCTAAGCCAGGCAGGCCTATTGGGGCTCGTGGACGCTTAAATTTGTACCGCTATATTGAACCATTGAGTAGTGCACCAGTAGGCATCAATTGTATTCGTTGGGCGCCAGTTTCAGGACAAGGTATTGTGTATGGCACAAATAATGGAACCCTTGTAATGCTACGTTGAACATCTTTAAGTCTAGTCCTTACAATTGTGAATGTCTTAAGTTTAATCTACAGTGATAACAACGTGCCTCCCTTTCTTTACATCGGTTTGTGAATCACAAAATTAATTTTCTTTCACATTTTGAAGTGTCTGAACTCCGACACCATTAAATGTCAAAAATAAGATTCTTTAATTCTCATTACTGGTCATAGACAAACGTCTTGTTCTGTAGTGTTCATAATTCTTATTGTTTAGTTTATAACATGCATGTTTGGTTACTCTGCTGTCTTATGATTTTGGACCATGAGGATACTTCTGTTTTATTGATGTACAAGACTAAAGTCAAATTTATTAATAACCTATTGTGTTCTGATTTTAGGTTTGTAGCATATTGCCATTTTCTTAGTCATCATGTTTATTATAGTTGCATTTTGTCACATACTGTCTCAGATATGCCATTTCATTTGTTTAACTTGATTGTAGAATTACACTTTTCTTCTTTTGAGTGGAGTAAATATTGAAATTGACGACCTTCTGATTACAGGTTTATAAAATATAACAATAATATGTTGCTTAGAATAGTGTTTTTATTACTACCTGCTACACATGTAATTTTAGCCTTTTATCATAACTACATGCGGTTTAATGGTGAGAGACCCAAAAGAGTCATGCCCCTGTGGAGAACAATTCTTGCTTCTTCAAAGAGCCGTAACCTCTGCTCTCCTACTTTGCCTGCATTGGACACATGAAGAGCAATCATGGCTTTGTTAATAGCGTCACTGAAAAAAGAAATGAAAACAAATTTATCATGCTTTGCTTACAAACAGACAATATTAGATATAAAATTTGTAAAGGTACTTACCATAGTGTGAACAAATACTCAGAGAGTTTGCTGGCTTCCAATTCATCAAAACTTCTTTCAAGCACTTCTTCAAATCTACAACAAAATTTTTAACATTACAAAACAAAGTAAAAGTTACATTTCAACTAGTTCTCCTCTAAGTTAACACACCTTGAGATTTCAAACACTAAATTTACAGCTGCAGTTTCAGACAATAGGAGTGGCTCACATATATGAGCAGAGGCCAAAGGACTATTTTCATGAAGACTTTTCAATCTGCAATGAGTATATTGCAGTCTGACTCCAGTATTTCCAGTAATCTGAGAAAGAAATCAAGAGACCTCATTGAAAACTGTGGCAAGAAACCATACTTAAGTTTTCATTAGATTTGAAAAAATAACAGTACAGATCTAGCAGATTCCCAGTTAAAGGTGTAATCCTTTTGCCTTTTATGAATCAAATCTGCGGCCACAATTGCAGAAACTCCAAGAATATCCGCAGTTGTTAGGTCTTCCAGAAGGTCAACCTTGGTATCTGCCAAAGACAAAAACTAGTGAGGTCCCTCTGAATCAAAACCAGGTGTGATGCCTTTGGTTTTGATTTGTCACTTACTGGGACTTTCCTTTTGTTGCTTAATCATGAGCTGATGTGCTTCGTTAAGGATATCATTAAGAAATACAACCTGCCCCTGACGAGTACTCATACCACGAACACGACCAAATCTAATGTGTTTCAAGTTCTCAGACCATGGTAAGTTAAGATCTTTGAGAATATGGAAGAGGTTTATGAAGTGTCTATGCTGTGATGTATCTGCTAAATAGTACATCATATCAAATCTATATTTTTCTTGTCTGAGGGAAAAAGAAAGAGATGAAAACTATGAACACAGCGATTGGAAAAACAAATCAGACTTGATGTGTTATAATACTATACCTATCGATAGCTGCTGCAATATCACGAGTAAGGTAAAGTGTGCTGCCATCACTTTTAAGCACAGGAACTTCTTTACCAGCAACATTAACAATTGAGCGACCTTCTTTGTCAGTTGCCATTAGTCCACTCGAGTCTAGCAGTTTCAGAATATGAACAATAGAATCAGCTTTGTAGTCAGATTCCCATGAGTATTTGTCAAAGACGATTCCCAGCCGAGAGTAGGTTTTCATTAATTCAGCTATGGTATATCTGTAACAAAAACATTTGTCTATAATGACAAGCTTACAGATCCAAAAAGTGCGCAATGCATGCGCAGTAATGAGAATACTTACTCTTTGTACAATTTCCAATCAGAGATGTCATCCTGCTTCCCACATTCTAAGTTCATAAATATTTTCCGTGCGTCATCTAATAAAGCAGGATCTTTTTCTGCTGCTGCATTAGCAGTAATATATGCTTGATATAGCGTAGACAGAGGCTTTTGGCTTAATTCTTCTTGTGAGGGATTTAAAATTTTCATCCCCACCTAATGGTGTTTTTATAAAGAAAAAAATGGTAACAAAATTATTATGCCATGTCATACTGTAGAAAACATTGAGACCCACCTTGACTAATCCAAATTGAGTCCCCCAATCCCCTAAATAGTTAAAGCGTAATACTTCATACCCAAACCATTCATGTAAATTTGCAATAAAGTTGCCAATGATTGTGGATCGTAAATGGCCCATATGAATTGGTTTGGCAATATTGGGGGAGCTGCAAGAAATATAAAATCTTATTAAAGAGTTTTGTTGTGTTTTTAAAAATATTGAGGGACATTTTTTATTTCACTTAGCACCTGAATTCCACAATGACTCGTTTGCCACGGGATGGCAAAGGCTTTTTAGCAGCATTATTTTCAAGAATCTCACGAACAAAATTTTCGTGATGTAGGTGGAAGAAAATGTCTGTTTTGCCTTGATGTTTGATGACAGAAACGGAATTGACAATATTATCTGCTTTTAGGCTATTTTGAACATTTTCAAGATTAAAATTATTGCTGCAGGCACTTAGAGAATCAGTCGGAACAGAAAGACCAATTTTAAAATCAGCAGATTTCCTAAGATTCACTTTTGAGGCAAGTTTGACGACATCACTTGTCGACGGCCTGCCTTGTACGAAGAGTTCCAAAAGCTGGAGGGATACAAGGAAAACGATCAATTGCTAGGAAAATCAAAGTTCTGACACAGTGGAATATAGAAATGATTTACCCGCCGAGAGACATGATGTTTTAGAGTCGAGGCCATTATTTGTTTCCAAATGTTACTGTATCACACTAGATGTTTTATGTCACAGCAAAGTTGCCTGTTGAAAAGAGCACACATGTTCAATGAAGGAAAGGCTGCGTAAATTTTAATAAAACTTATCTAGTAAGGCCATAATTATCGAAGTATTCGATGTATTTTACATTTTATATAAAACCGGAGAGAAGCGGCAGGTTGGGTTGAATAGCAGCCTGTAGCAGACGACGAACTGGACAACGCGATTTCTCATCTCGTGTCTTTCCGGTTTCTGGTTCGGAACTCCCTAGGCGCGAAAACACGAATGTTGAGTTTTAACAGTTTCAAAGAAGTACGTAAAAGGATGATTTCTTTGTAACCGCTCTAATGCTTTCCTGTTTACCTTGGATGTGATGCATCTCTTCTTGTATTAATCGTTCGACTTGAAGAATCTGTTCATGATCTATTGATCCTCTCCCTCTCCCTTCGACGATTTGGAAAGCGCAAAGCGGAAGCGGCAAGGCGAGCCTTCGTATCCCCTAGCCAAAGTAACAACAAAAACAAAATAGTAAACAATCACCAAAAAAGCGCGAAAACGTAACAAGTTGACAACAAACGATAATTTGCATCGTCGTACCTTCTTCGCATCAAGTCAGGAATGTCAGAAATGGTCGGAATCATGGCGGAATGTTAGCTTGCATGGTGAGTCCAATTTATAACCGTAACTCCGGGCCAGTGCTGTATTTTGCCCGGTTGTGTCGTTTCTATTTGTTTTGTTTCTCACGACGTGGAGACAGTCTTCTGCCCGTTGCGGCTAGTTGACAGCCTAAGTGAAGTGGTCGGTAGTCAAAAATAACTCTAAGGTACTATGGATTTATATCTATTTTAATTGCCTGCCTTGGTTGAGTTAATGCAGATAACGCTGTCAAGTAGTGTGTTGTAATTCAGAAATGTCTCCGTTTGCCGTTGTGCATCGTACATGAGCCGACTCGCTAAGGTTATGGCGTACCCAGTTTGTTTTGGTGATGGACATTTAAGAGACTTTGACCGTTCTCCAGTCTCTTCTGAGTTGACCGCTCTCTTAGTCACTGCGTTTGACCGGACGGCGATAGCAAGCCGCTCAGTCCTAGTTTCAAGCCGTTTCAGACGGTTGATGAGTGCCCCTTTTATTCCATTCTCTTGTGTCAAGACTCTTGTTGCAACAGAATTTATTTTACAGATGCAATGGATGGATGGTGGGATCGAGCAGACATGGAGTGTGGAATGCCTTATTACATCAAGTAAGTATACCAACTTCAGTTAGTTCAGTTGAAAATTCTGAACATTTGGAAGTGGTATTGGGGTTTGGTTTTCAGTCTAAAACTTATTTTGAAAATTTTCAGTCATCGGGAGAGGAAGACACAATGGGACCATCCAAAGTACACTGAAATAATCAATTTACTTCGAGAATGTAATATCATAAAGTATGCTGCATATCGAACTGCAGCCAAACTGTGTGTGCTTCAAAGAACGCTGCACAGTATGTACTTCAAACAGATGATGTCAGGATAGCACCCTAATAAATATCTATTTAGTATCTTGGATTAACATCTGTATCTCAATCTACAGTGGAACAGGTTCGAATGGGCCTTGTTGTGGGAGTCCTTGACCAACATCGTCTCCGTGCTCCTGAAAATGGTGTAATCCTAGAAGTGACTGAGCTTGAAGCTGTTCTGGCTGACATGTTTTTTGCTTCACGCAGAGAAAATATGTCAGATGATGATGTTGATTTAAACTCAGAGCTTTTGCTCAACTTCCTTCTCAATGCGTTTGATGAGTGAGTTTTTTAAAGTACTTTATTTTGTTAAACTTTTTCTTTTGTTTTTCGTTTTATAATGTCTTGGCTTGACATTTTTCTTTTCTTTTCTTTATGTGGATTTCAGTAAAAGAAAAACTGGTTTAACTGTTCTTCAAGTCAAAGTAGCTCTTATTGTCCTCTCTTGTGGACGTTTACAAGATAAACACCAGTATTTGTTTCACCAAGTGGCTGACCACAATAATTGCATTTCTCGTCGTAAGCTTGAAGCTTTACTCCGTGCTCTAGCACTGATTGCTGAATATCTTTCAGAAGGGCAATCATTTGGCCCAGCCTTGGTTCCAGCTACAGTAGATAGTTGCTTTCAACTGGTGAGCAATGTTGTGCATTGTACTAATTTGTTTAGATTTATGGCTGTGTTCAATTTTGTAATGTTGCATATTTTTACTCCAGTCACAAGGTACTTTAGGAGTAACAGAAGATGGCTATATGAGTTGGCTTCTCCACGAGCCTCAGTTGCTTGTGTGGCTGTCCACATTCTACCGCATGCGATCAGCTGAACTTGGTATGTTGGTCATAATTTTTATTCATATCTTGCTTCCTGATTGTTGTTAAATGTAGAGCTAAATGTGTTGCTTTGTTCTTTTTTGTTTTTGTTTGTTTGTTTATTTGTCATTGTCTTAAGTTGTGCTTCATGCTTTATCTAGTGTGGCACAATGTAAAATGTGCTGTCTGCAAAGCACAACCTATTCGTGGATTACGCTACCGTTGCTTGCGTTGCATGGGCTATGAGCAATGTCAGACCTGCTTCCTCACCGGTAAAGCTAATCGCAAACACAAGCTTTCACATCCTATGCAGGAATATGTCGGTCAGGTATGAAATGTTAAAATCCTGAGAATCTTTTTTTGTCAAAATATTCAACTATCTTATTTTCTAGTTTTCTGTTGCTTTGTCAGACATCTTCCATGGAAGCTACTCGAGCCTTTCTAAAGGTGCTCAAAAACAAGGTTTGCCGCTCATCGTCTAAGATTCAGTATCTGCCTGTTCTACCCCAGGATTCTGTTTCTTCCACCTCTTCCAAGAACCAAAGGTTACTTATTCTAATTTTTTCACTTCAAATATTTTATTGACATTTGTATTATTTGTTGGGTTTCTAATTTTGTGAAATTCTAGAGCTAATGAACGTGGTGCTGCTGCTGGATCTTGTGGTGACGTCACTCGACTTTTAGATGGCTTGGAAACAACTTCTCGTACTGTATTGTATGGCTCGACATTGGACCTCCATCCTGGCAAAGAACTGCAAAGCATTATCTCTCAATTGGAACTTCTGTGTGCTGCCGATGAAAGTGCCAATAGCAATGCCCCTGTCGCAACAAGGAGGAAAGTAGAAGCTCAAGTTCAGAGACTGAAGATGTTGAAGGTATCCTACTTGAAACAGTGTAAAATCCTTAATGTTAAAAATTTGATTTTTTACTAATTTTTTTATTTTTTTTAAAAATATTTTAGCGATTCCTTACCTTAAGAGTTCGTCCGCAAGTACCGCATCGCACGCTGGAACGGTTAGAAAGTACTCCTTTGGTTTATGCGGGGCAACGCAATCGCAAGCCAAATGCTGACCATTTCAATGAGTTAAGCCCCATCCCTATGGAAAAGAATTCCTCTTATGTACCTCCAAGTAAGAATAAGCATTGAGGAAATGTTCTAGGACTACAGAAACATGTCTAACATGCTTTGTCTTTGTTTTTAGGAGAAGTTCAATCAGATTTGCCTGGTCCAAGGGAATTTGGAGAAGGTGCTGAAGCAAGTGCTGATGACTCATCTTCCTTGCCCAGTCTCACTGACAGACACCCTGGAGATATAAGCACTTGGCTTGGGAACCACCAGTCTTTCACTGTCTCAAAACCTCAAAATTTACCTGCTCTTTGGCTTCAAAGTATGTTTCGCATTGTTCTTGAAATTAAACAGGTATTCAATTTTGAACATGGTGCAGCTTATTTATTTGTTCTCAATTTCTTCAGATTCTAGAATGGGAAGAGAGCCTTTTAATATTGGAGACGAACCGAGCCCATCTTCAGATTCTAGATCTGAAGCTCAATCTGATGGTCAGTCTGAGGGCCAGTCGGATGCGCTCTCTGATGTTCAAAGAGATCGCCGACTTGAAGAACTCCACAAGGATTTGGATACAATACTCGATCGTTTGCAGAATATGCTTGCATCAAATTTTGCAGAAGGTAAAGCCATTTTGCATTCACTGTTTCTATTGTCTTGAACGTATTTCAGTGCCCTTTTCTCACATATTTTGTTTTGACTGACAGATACTGTTAATAAAGACAATGAAAAATTGCAGCAGGATGCGATTGAAATAGAAGATCTGTTGTCTGGTCTTATTGAAGGTGTTGAAAGCAATCACCCTCCCAGAAATAGCTGTGAAAACCATGATGTGGTTCCACAAGATGACAAAGTCAATAATAATGCCATCACAAGTTGCTAATACGGTATTCATCATTTTTCAGCTGGCATTATTATTGGAAACCCCGTACTCAGGTCAACTTTATTCTCATTTTAATTTTCTTATTTTGTAGTGTTATTTTTAAGTAAGTATTTTCTTGCTATATTTTTGTCCTCCCAAATCCTACCTATTTGCACATAATGCATTGCTCTCTACTGCCCTTCCCGATCTCCCTTGTTCATACCTAATTTACATGTAGTAGGTAGGAGTAAACTAGTGAGTTGGAAAGCTTGATTTTATTGTGGTGCTGAAGCCTGAAGATATTATTTTTGAACCCCCTGTTGTTATAAGTTATGATATTTTTTCTTTAATTTTGTTTTGTAGGGATTGTTTTATTCCCTAAATCTGTTGTAAATTGTAACACTGTAAGCAATCATTGTTCTGTGACAGTGCTTGGTGCATACCTTACTGTTGAATGTTTATATGAAGACTGTCCCCGTACTTCTGTAATTGATTTGCCTTTTCGTATTTACTTTTTTCTAAACAGAGTTTTTATTAATGATTGTGTTTCTCAAGTATATGGGGTACTAACTTGTTTAAATTTTATTTTGTGTAGTATGCTGAAGCTATAACTTTACTGTAGCTCAAGTGGCCACTTGAAAATTCATTTAAGCTTTCAGTTTTGTCGTCTTGAGATCTCATTTTTTGATGCTACACTAATTTTTGCATAACATTGAATTTCTCGTGGTCCAGGACAATTGAGAATGCTCACTCAGATGTATGAACTTGTTTTTAAGTAACCATGTGTTTGTGGACTTATTGAGTCAGACTTATTACGGGGAATAGCAACCTTGAACTTGCATTGTATTAGTGTGTCCCCTCGGTCGAGCATTAGTTTTCCTCTTCGTTTTTCAAATAATCTGGTCAAAGGAAATACTACCATGCGATCTGTAGCATATTATGTTTCCTCTCAATCCTTTGTAAAATACCATCATATGTAGAATTGAGGTCAATTTACGGACAGCGTGATGTTTTCCTTGGCTAGCCTTCTGCCTCCGTCCATTGTTGCCTGGATAGTGTTATTTTGTTTGGTTTGCAATGGCAAAATCAATTTTTGATGATATATTCCGTTTATTCTTGTTTTTGTTTGCAAAACAGTTTTAAAGATTTTATGCTTTTAATCATGTGAAAGTTAAATAACCGGCTTGCACACACTTTTTGTGGCTCCAGTTGTGAAAGCCACATTTCAACAGTGTGGGAAAGTTAAGCACCCTGTTTTTAATTTTTTATAGACTCACTTTCATTTAAAGAAGATAGATTTACGTGTAAAGTTGATAAATATATATATGTATGCATATATTTATAAACATGAGTGTAGTAACATTAAACAGCATCTGTGTACCTTCTTTTATCCTCCTGTTGTTTGAAGAAAATCTGGCGTAGTTATTAGACAAAACTCAAATTTTCGCTTCCTGACTGTTCTTGATGGTCCTTGGGGAGGTATTCTTCTAGTTAGATTCATGGCCCAGTTTTAGAATTTGACAAAATTTATTGGATCGATGGTCTTCTTTATTTCAAATGATAAATGTTAATAGTATTTATTGCTGTGAGGATACAACAAAACCAATCTAAAACTGCAGCTGCCACAATTTCAGATAACAATAATCCTAGTTGGACTGATGAATATTACCTGAAGTGGTCATGATTCTTTACAGTTAATGTACAATGCACATGCCAAAACATAAAAATGGCATTAACATGATAAATGAAAAATATTCATATTCTTTGGATTTAATTGCTAGCTACTGGTACTGTATTATTAAGTAGGTATCTTGATGGTTTTCTCTCCAAAATAATATTTTTCGTTTCAAATGGTGGTTAAGTATTCATATGGAGTGACATGGATACATCACTTAGTTAGGGAGTTAAGCGCGCAACCTGTTGAGTTTGCCATAGGATGAGACAGAATTTAGATTTAACATCATTTCGAAGTAAAATGGATTCCTTGAAGATTCTGAGTTCCACACCTGAGATTAAAACTTCACAATGACATTAGTGCGTTTCAAGCACACTAAAAACATGCGTCAAAAGTGAGGAGAAGAACTCGTTCTCAAAAGCATTAGTATGAAAATTCAAAGAACAGTTGTAATTTCCTTAGAAATGCTTCAGTTTTGAGCCTTAAATAACTGTCAAATCTTCACAATAGTGAACATGAAGCACTAAGTAACTAAAATCCATATTTTTCCACATTTAATTGTAAAACAAAGTAAATTCTACCAGCCTCACAAATTGGGCTGAACTTCCAGATCTAAGTCTTTCCAGCATTTGAAGACAAATTGCGACCCGTTCATACCTTCTTGTCTTAAACAACATACACTTTCATTGGACTAGTTGAAAAGCACTTTGCGTTTTTTAAAACAATCTATTTATATAAATATTTATATTTGCACATAAAAAGCCATTTATTAATGGCAGATTAGTACAAACTATTCCGTCATAAATGGTACACACACAAACTACAACTCTACTTTTGACTTCTATACAAAATCTTTAAGTATCAGATTTGTTGATCTGCTAAAAGAAAGAAAAAAAAAAGACAGATCAAAAGACAGAACCAGCTGCAATTATAAATCGTAGTACTCTCAGAGCAAAAGTGTTGTGGAAAAGAGGGTGTGGCAAGTATGTAAAAGTGAATCTGTTTAATACTACTTCTCATAATAAAATAATAATTATAATAGCAACTCCTCTCCACAACACTTTTGAAGAAAAGTACATCTAATTCATCCTCACTGGTGGAATCACCTGGTAGAAAAAAAAACGGGGTAGGGGTCTTGGTTTCAAGGCAGCAGTGATGGGTAAATGCACAACTACTGTCTAAGATCGCATACGCAAAAATAAATTAAACGAACATCATCACACTAACGAACCCTGTATCGCACAAACGCCGTCCTAGGCGGCGTCAGCAGCCACACACGGGGCACCACTGGAAGTAAAGTCCTGGCCGGGGGGCACTGGGGTGCACCCGGTCGCTGAGAGCCCTGACACGCCGGCCTGTTCAGTTCCCTTCAGTTCCTCTTGGACGAGTTGATGAGGTACTTGCAGCAGTGCGTGAGCAGGTGCTTCTCGCCGTTGGTCTCGCTGTGGTGGTGCATGCCCACGGACGCCAGCTCCCGGGTGTAGATGTCCAGGCCGTACTGGCCCTCCTCGGGGAAGCTGATGACGAAGGTGACGATGTCGTCGTCCGTCACGGCGTGCGAGACGAACTTGGACAGGCGCTTCTCCTCCACGCCGTTCTTGTGCAACGTCGCCATGAAGTCGGTGAGCGGCCGCGACATCCGGAACTGCAGCTCCAGCTCGCGGCCCGCGAACACCAGCGCGTCCTGCAAACGGAGAGACGGCCAGCAAATGAGTGTCTCTCTCTCTCTCTCTGGCAGTTCCAAGAAAACACCCCTCCATGGAACCCTTGGCCGGAGCTCTGGAAACTTCCGGAAGCGTTTGGGACTCCGGGACTTCCCTGCCGCCGAACGGGTTGCCTACCCCACGGCCCCCGGCTGGTCCGCGGGTGTCCGGGACCTTGTCCGGGACTCACCTGGTGGGTGATGGGGATGAGGCCGAACAGCCTGGTGGCCTTGGTGGGGCCCCACTCGCCCGACCCCCTAACGCCGGACTCATGGATCCGAACCGGTCTTTGGGTCGCGCGGAGTCGGCAGGGCCTCACGGTCGCGCTCGACGCGACTGATTGCACGACCGACTGAGCCATGGGTCGCCGGTCAGGTACTCCTTGGGCGTGACGGCGTTGGCGAAGATGTCGAGCAGGAAGGCGCCGCTGCACGGCGCGTGCACTCTGAACGCGACGATGTTGCCCACGACGGACTGCAGGGAGGAGAGAAGGGCAGGGTTAACAGCAGTTAGCAACGACGCGCCGCTCTGTGTCGCCACCGCAGAGGCTCCATTTCTACTCACTTGCATGACGAATCTCTTGAGGGAGACGCCGTCGAACATGTCGCCGTCGCTGTCGTAGAACTTGAGGTTGTAGTGGAAGATGAGGCTCGACTGCATGTTCGCGGGCATGGCTATTCTAATGGTGGCTGCTCCTGCACAGAGCGAAGGACGCGTTCAGGTCAGTCTTGCCACGCGTCAACGGGGAGAAAGAAAAATAAAGACAAACTCGGCGAGTATTTGAACCCGTAACCTTTACCTGTGGCGTCCGTGTACATGACGGCCTTGGTGTGGGCGTCGGGGAAGTACAGGCCGTAGCGGAAGAAGAGCGACCGCACGAAGGGCAGCTCCTCGAAGTCGTGCAGCGTGATGGGGGTCTTGAGCAGCTGCCAGTCGGACTGCAGCGGGAAGAACTCGTAGATGAACTCGCGCGGGTCCGTCAGGAAGTAGTGGTCGTCGTACTCGTACCTGTCAAAACGTGTGAACAACGTGTCTCATTTGGTGCTGGGCATTGGCATCAAGCATGCCTCAGGTCGAGGCCCAACTTGAGCCCCCAAAACCGAGCTCGGGTTGGAGCCCAATTGGGTCAAAACGGTTTAAAAGCCGTTGAGGCTCAAATGGGGCGAGGCACACGACACGTGGCATTGTAAAAGCCTCATGCATTAAGCGATGTCCATTCACAACAGACAAATGAAATGGATCCGAATGGGCTCACGTCCCACACCCACCTGAGGCTGTCGGACTTGCCCTTGGCGCCGGCCTTGGGGACCTCCTTGGCGTTGACGAGGTGGCGCGCGCCCCAGTTGCACTGCACGAAGCGCCACGCCCCCGCCACGTAGACCGCGTTCCACGAGTTTCGGAACCGCGAGTCCTCGAACCGCACCCCGGGCTGGTAGCCCGCCGACTTGGAGTAGCCCTTGATGACGACGCAGTGCAAACCGGCGTAGCTGCGGCCAAGACACAAGAGGTTTAGCAAACCCTCGAGCGAACCAGACGAGACAGCTGTTTGTGTTTGGGTTCTGTGTTTGGGTTTGGGTTTGAATTTGGATTTGGGTTTGCATTTGTGCTTGGGTGGTTTGGGTTTGGTTGGTTTGAGTTTGTGTGGTTTGGGTTTGTGTTTGGGTGGTGTTGGGTTGGGTAGTCGTTGGTCGCTTGCAAACAAACCTGCAGAGTCGCTTGAAGAGCACGTGGTAGCTCTCGGTGCCGTGCTTGATGCCTCGGAGCAGCCCCATGGGGGTGTCGCCCCGAAGGTTGTCGTCGAACGTCATCGTGTTCAGGTTCTTCACCGTGATCCACCGGAATATTGTTCTGGAAAGGAGAAAAGGCCAAAATGAAACCGAGCTGCACGCACGGAGAGGGAAAAAAAGTGACAGGTGAGGGATTCGAACCCACGCCCCCATGTGGATCATGGCTCAAGTCTGACGCCGTAGACCACTCGGCCAACCTGAGGGCTTATCACTGCTTCATGGACGAGACGCCATTTGAGTCTGTCGCCATGGGCACCGCGAAGGGCTTGCTCTTTGCTCCGCGCCCTGCCCTCGGCTTTCACCGCTGCAGCCTGCAGTCTGCAGCAGTGTCGGTCCTCATTCTTGATTCCTGATTCCTAATTCCACGTGCGCGGGGAAACAGGGGAAACCCAACAACGACCCGCCACGACCGCAGCGCCGCGCGGGGCCGGCGGCGGGGCCGGCGGAGCCCTCGTGGGGGCAGTTTGCATGGCGAAAATAAAAGTGTGATCTGGGGACGAACGGGACGGGGACGGGACGGGCCCCGGTCGCCTCGCCGGTGCCGGTACCGTCCGTGTCCACGAGGCGCCACGAGGCTACGAGACAAGCGCTTTCGCGTTCCAAAGAAAGTGAGTCTGCGGGACAGCGGGACAGCCGGATGGGATGCAATTGACACGACACAACACGACATGCCGAGTCGGCCGAGGCGAGCCGCGCAGTCGCGGCTCTAACCATATACTCCCTGCGCGCGCCGCAATGTCCGCGGCTAGCCAGGCCAGCCAGGCTAGCCAGTCCATGAATAACACATACCTGGCTTTCTCTATGTCGGATCCGCACCGGCCGACCAGCTGTCGTACAAGGTCTGTGAAGGTCTTCTGGTCCTCTTGCGCCACCTGCGGAACCAAATTAAGTTTATGTTTAGCCGGCGTCCGGCGGACAGTGTCGGACAGCAGGCGGACGCAAGCGCCAGCACACTGCTTCCGAGAGTCGCTCTCGTCGCTCTGTCTCTCTCGCACTCATGGGGTCGTCCCGTGCGAGAGAGAGGCCGGTGCTCACCGAGATGGCGATCTGGTCCATGGAGGCGAACTCGGCGGGGTCGTGGTACAGGTGGCACTTGGCGAGCGCGGGCGGCGCGGGCAGCGGCGCCAGGCTGGGGTAGGGCGCGGCCTCCTCGGCGCATCCGTCGCCCTCGTCCAGGTACAGCGACTCGGCGCGCATGTACTCGGACCGCTTCTCGTTGATGAGCTCCAGCATCTCCCGGGACTGCTTCTCCACCAGCGCGGCCGTCGCTGCCCTGCAGGCGAAACATGAAAACCAGTGATGAGTGTGGGACTCGAACCCGCGCGACCTCATGCCGCTCGGCCGCTACGCGCTACGCACCGCTCGTGCTCCAGCATCTTCCTGGTGATGGACTCCTTCTTCCTATCCCTCCTGAGGGTCATGTTCTTCTCCAGGTCGGCGCGCTCCTGCTGCAGCCGCAGCGTCAGCACCTGCTGCTCGTCCGGCCGCTTGCGCTTCGTCTGCAGCTCCCGCTCGAACCGCGTCGTCAGCCTCTCCAGCTCCTGCTCCCACTCGTCCTGGACACACAAGGCGGTCAGTGCACTGGCTGCAGGGCACAGTGGATTTGCCAGAAGACCGGTGGCGGCGCGTTTTGGGCTCCAGAGTCGCTAAATGGGACTCGAACAGTACGAGTGACCCCACCAATGGATTGCTCTCCGAACGACGAATCCAACGGGGGGGTCACACGCTCGGTTCGAGGCCTGTTTAGCGACTCTGGAGAATTTCGGCCGCCTGCGCCGGTCTTCCGGCCCACTGTGGAGCGCTCGGCTGGTGGCGGCGAAGTTGGGGGCGTTCTCTCTCCTCACCCTGAACTCCTCCTTCATGCGCTTGTCCTCCTCCTCTCGCTGGCGGGCGAACTTCCGGTACAGGTCGTCCTCTTCCTTCCGGTGCTTCATCTCCAGCCGCGTCTGCTCATCCTTGTCCTGGAACACACAGGGAAGCGGCGTTAAAATCACCAAGGCCGGAATGGAATAGAATAGAATAGAATGCACTCCGAATGCACTCGGTACGACGTGGACGCAGTGTGGCGTGGCGCTGCGTGGCGCCGCGTGGCAGACGGTCACCTTGCCCGCCTTGCGCGCCTCGCCCCGGAGCTCCGCTGGCGGCGGCGTGCCGCCGCGTGCTCCGCGCACTGATTCCGAGAGTCGTTTTCATCGCTCTGTCTCTCTCGCACTCATGGGGCGTCCCGTTTAGGTGCGAGAGAGACAGAGCGGCGACAACGACTCTCGGAATCAGTCTGCTGGATGCGACCTTCACGCCGAGCGACGGTCGCCCCGATGGCCGGACTGGCGAACGCGAACTCGGCGGCGGGCATGTGCACCCCGTGCCCGTAGTGCAGCCTCCCAGCCTCCTCCTCCTCCACCGGGTCGGCCCCGGTGAGACACGACGCCAAGGCGGCGCCTTTCCGAACGGACAGCGGGATTTGCGCAACCGGAAAGGACGCGCGCGGCCGGGCGACACGAGAGACACACTGACGGGGTGGTGACAGGACAGGGTCGGCGCCGAGGTCGGCGCCGTCTGTCCGTTCGGACGACACCACTTCTGCAGTGTCCGAGAGTCGTTTTCGTCGCTCTGTCTCTCTCGCACTCACGGGGCGTTCCGTGCAGGTACAAAAGAGACATATCGACGAAAACGACTCTCGGAATCAGTCTGCAGCCTCGCGATCGCGTAGACATAGACACCTTTCCGTCGCACACCGACGACGTCGACACTGCGAGCGCGTTCGTCCAGGCCGACGTTGCACTACGCTGCACGTTGCAGCATCCGCGGCACACATTGCTTGACCTGGACGCGGGAGGCCGTGGCCAGGCCGTGGCACACTGTGAGCCGTGCCCGCGCGGCGGGCGGGGCGGGCAGGTTGCACAACGGCGCGGTGCAGTGCGTTGCAGTTTACAGTGCAGTGCGCTGCGGTGACACGGATCACGGATCGGACCAGTTTCAGCGGTATCATTTCGCAAAACGCGATGCGACAGGGGTTCAGCTGTGGCGGTGCTGGCAAAAGCTTTTCAGGGAATGCAAAAACAAAATGAGAAGATTAACATTTTTGTTGTTTGCTCTTCCCAATCGTGTCTAATCGTGCCGGAGCAACTTGATTGCCGACTGAGGACCTGAAACGACGTGAAATAATATTCCACTGGAGCCCGCCCCTCCCCCCTACCCCTCCCCGAAGCACTAATGTCCGTGTTGGGAATATGGGGCAGCCTGATACACTGGTCGCACGCATGCTCTACTACTCAAGACGATATCCACGCGCTCGCGCGCAAAAAAAAAAAAAACAAACAAACAGGAGACGCAAAAACAAGAAATAAAAACTTTCCATCACTTAAGTGACGCGTGCGCGGACGCGCAGAAAGTCCGCAAGAATAAAAACAAAAACAAAAAGAGAGGGGAAGCGCAGTGCGATCCGCGAGCTTCGCAAGGGAGCCTGGCATGGCCTGCCGGGGAGATGTGGAGTCATAATGGCACGGCAACGTGTCATTACCCCCCCCCCCCCCCCCCGCCCGGCCAGATGAGATCACCTGTGTCGGGGCGGACGAGGCGGACCGGACGGGGACCACGGCGACGGCACGAGGAATGCCTGTCCAACCTCAAGACAGCTTTATCCACATTAGCCTAGGCCGGCTGGGCCGGCCGGGGACGGCCTGGGATGGCCTGGCCTGGTTGGGCTGGGCTGGGCGCCCCGCTGCCGCCGCTGCTGGCCGCCGTAAAGCCGTCCGTGGCTTTGTCCGGCGCGCCGCGCCACGCCGCACATAGTGGGCAGGAAGACCGGCGGAGGCGGCCACAACTCTAGACGCGTTTTGAGCTCCAGAGTCGCCGAATGGGACTCGAACCGAACGTGTGACCCCACCAATGGATTGCTCTCCTAACGAGGAATCCATTGGTGGGGTCACACGCTCGGTCCGAGGCCTGTTTAGCGACTCTGGAGCTCAAAACGCGTCTCGAGTTTGGTCCGCCTCCACCGGTCTTCTGGCCCACTGTGCGCTGGGCCGGCCAGGCGGTGCAGCTCGGTGCAGCTAGTGCGGCCAGTGCAGCGTGGTGCTTCGTGGCCTTGACGGCGGGGACGGGGACGACGACGCCGGCACTAATGGGGCAACAAAGGCTCGCTGGACGTCCGCCTGCTGGACCCGCCCCTGCCCCCTGCCCCTTCCCCCCCTTCCCCCTTCCCCTCCCCTTGCCCCTTCCCCTGCCCCCCTTCCCCTTCCCCCTTCCCCCTGCCCCCGCGACGCGCCGAGACGCCCTGTCGTCCTGCCGCGCGGCGCAGCGCCATGCAATATGCAATTTACCTCGGCGGCCGCGGCGCGTCACCGCGCTGCAGCACTGCAGCGGTCCTCCTCACTCCCACTCATTTGCCCCCACAAAGCCGTAAATAAAACCAAATGAGCTGTCCGCAGCTTTTTTCTGCTTTGTTCAGAGGAGATGTTGTTGTCTTTGCGATGTCGTCGCCACGGCTGATGCGAGCCCCCGGCGGGTTGGACTTGCCCGCTGCGCACGCCTGCTCGACGGGACTGCCTACCCCACAGGCGCTCCGACGCGCCACGCGCCTGGAGCCGCGCCGGGCCCGCCACAGTGGGCCAGAAGACCGGTGGAGGCGGCCAAAACTCTAGACGCGTTTTGAGCTCCAGAGTCGCTAAATGGGACTCGAACCGAACTTGTGACCCCACCTATGGATTGCTCTCCGAACGAGGAGTCCATTGGTGGGGTCACACGTTCGGTTTGAGTCCTGTTTAGCGACTCTAGAGCTCAAAACGCGTCTGGAGTTTTGGCCGCCTCCGCCGGTCTTCTGGCCCACTGTGCGGCGCCTGCCTCGGGTTCGAATACCCGCCTTGCCGCCTCGAGGTCTGAAAGTGGTCGCTCTGCACCAGCCTGCTCTGCTCTTCCTTCCGCCCGTCCATTTCAAAGTCAAAAGCCGCGCGGAGCGGATGGCGGATGTGGGAGCACCGCGCCGATCGGCCGGTCTCGTCGACTCGCGTCCCTCGGCCTTCGGCGTGCACCACGGATCGCGGCACAGTGATTCTGCCTCGCTCCGCTCTCGTTCTTGAATAAAGAGAAAATGTTTGCACGTGTGTTGTTTCCTCGTTGAGCTAAACCAGATGACTGGGTTCAGTCTGGTACTGTAATGCATGCTTGTTGACATCCCTAGAGTCAAGTCTGGCAACAGTAACACGGCATGCTTCGGTTTTCAGGAGTTTTCCCCCCTTTGTTTCTCTCTTTTCTAGTTTCGTTTTTTAACTGAGTAAATCGCCCATTGCACCGCCCGCGAAGAGAGCGTCACAGATCGAGAGGTTGGTAAAAGGGGGGGCATGGGCGTCAGAGATCCGAAGAGGGGGGCCGGTGCGCCTACTGCCCACTCGGGTCGACCTGCCGCCTCATTCCGAGAGTCGTTTTCGTCGCTCTGTCTCTCTCGCACTCGAAGGGCGTCCCGTGTAGGTGGGAGAGAGACAGCGCGACGAAAACGACTCTCGGAGTCAGTCAGCTGGCCGCGCCGCCGCGTCGCCGCGGTGCTTGCAGCTTTTTGGCCGCCTCAGCCTTTCGCCTTTTTTGGCGGGCTGTGCCAGGCTGTGCTGGGCCCGGCCAGGCCTGGCTGCCCGGCGCCGCACAGTGGGCCAGAAGACCGGTGGAGGCGGCCAAAACTCTAGACGCGTTTTGAGCTCCAGAGTCGCTAAATGGGACTCGAACCGAACGTGTGACCCCACCAATGGGTTGCTCTCCGAACGAGGAATCCATTGGTGGGGTCACACGTGCGGTTCGAGTCCTGTTTAGCGGATCTGGAGCTCAAAACGCGTCTAGAGTTTTGGCCGCCTCACCGCGGCCTTCTGGCCCACTGTGCGCCGCCCGGCCTCACCGGCGGGCCGCGAGTGGGCAGAATAGCCAACCGCGTCAATCGCAGAGGCGCAGCAGAGTCTGTCTCTCTCGCACTCATGGGGCGTCCCGTCCAGGTGCGAGAGAGACAGAGCGGCGAAAACGACTCGGAATCAGCCATGGCAGCCTGGCAATCGCCACGCCGAACGCGAGACGGTCACACTGTCGGAGCGCGGCTGCGCGGCTGGCACTGGAACACCACTGCTGGACACACCTGTGTCGTGGTCCGCTGGCCGCCTCGCTGCTCGCCCCGCTGCCCGCCACACCCGATAACGCGAGCACGCCGTCGCGCGGTCCGCGGATTTGCCCGCGGCACCCGCCCCGCCCCGCCCCGCCCCGCCCCGCCCCGCCCCGCCCCGCCCCGCCCCCCCACGCCCCCGCCCACGCCCCGCCACGCCCCGCCCCGCCCCGCGGTAAACAAGAGCGTCATGCTTGTGACACGGTTGGCTCCCCTGATCCCATCTGATAGCGTCCACACGACCGTTCCGTTGGCCAGCCTGGCGGCCCGGCCCGGCCCGGCGGCTTGACGCGGCATGGACAAACAGACAAACAGTGAGCCGGCTAGGCTCCAGCGCGCTGCTGCGCCGCTTGCGCGTGACCTTTTGTTCCAACAAGTCCGTCGTCCTCGTCCTCGCAGTCCTCACACGTCGACGGCCATCGGCGCCAACGGCCTGCAAATGCCAATGGCTGCAGACTCATTCCGCGAGCCGTCTCTCTCGCACTCACGGGGCGTCCCGTATCGGCGCGAGAGAGACGGAGCAACTGACTAAAGCGACTCGGGCTGCACTGCAGCGCCACAATGACTATGGATCGGAGCGAGCGACACCTGCGCGGGGCGTGGCGGGGCGTGGCGGGGCGTGGCGGGGCGGGGTGGGCGTGGCGGGGCGTGGCGGGGCGGGGGGGCGTGGCGGGGCGTGGCGGGGCGTGGCGGGGGGGGTGGGGCGTGGCGGGGCGGGGCGGGGCGGGTGGGGCGTGGCGGGGCGGGTGGGGCGTGGCGGAGCGGGGCGGAGCGCGGTGGGGCGGGGTGGGAGCAGCTCGTTGGGGACCGGGCGCGCCCGTTAAC